TAACCATTATATCGTGCCCTATATATATATATATATATATATATATATAGCACTGGATATATTGTATATACCCCATGCACTTTTTCTTTCTTTGGCATCTTCTTCTTTTTGACTATTTGAGCCGATGTAACGTGAGCATTTCTCCACTGTAAGATCAATTACGGCAATCACACAATAAATATAGTGATTAGGGCGGACATTCTGACACAGCCTGGGTTCTTATTTTTTGCACTCTTGTCTCTAAAACAAAATCTTTCCTATCTTACAGCAACTATATCTCTACCTCATGATAGCTAACCTGAATTACAATTAGATTCATGATTGAAAATAGTAATTTTTATGCTGATGAGACTTTGATATTAAAATTTAAATTGGCTGTTAATAAACATGCAGTCTTGCTAATGTCACAGCTTGACCTATGATACTTTAGAAAGAGCAGAGCCCCACCATCCCCCATCATCTTGTGCAGCTTCTTCTGTTTCCTGGACACCATCATTGCTAAAGACCTCAAGTTGGAAATGAACATCACCTCCCATCACCTCCCTCACCTAGACAACACAGCAGAGGATGCACTACCTACAACAGCTAAAGATGATCAAGCTGCCAAAGGCATTAAAGATACAGTTTTACTCTTGTGCTCCTCTCCTTCTCCACCAGCACCATAATGGACAAGGCAATATGTGTGTAATTCTGTCTGCAACTGACCCCTCCACCCTTTATATTAACTGTTTTAGGTAGGAGGCTGAAGTCCATCCAGACCAGAACCTCCCAACACAAAAACATCTTCTTCCCATCTGCTACTACCTTTATTACCAATGCCCAGGTCCCCGATTGATATTTTCCCTTTGGAAAAAAAAAAAAAAATAGAAAAAGAACTGATAAAAAAAATGCAAAATTTGTCTGCAAATTTGAATTTGAATAATTTATAATTTGTCAGTTTTTTTTTTTTTTTTTTTTCTCTTCTTGCATAAAGGTAACAAGTTAAACTTCAGTTAAACACCAGTCCCAAAAGTCCTTCTTTAAAAGGGTTGTGTTTGTAAATCTGCTTTACCTGCTGTATTTCTGGGTGGAAGCTTTGAAAACAGGAATCAGCAGCACATTAAGATGAGAGTGTGAGTGAGAAATCATTGTTCTCCACAGCCACAGGTACATGCACTGTTATGTGCACTTTTCCTATTTCTTTTGAAGGCCGTGGGAAATTAATGGCTGCATCAATCATGCAGCAACCGAGAAGTGAAAAATACAAGATGATGGTTAGAGGCTTCACACAGACACAAATGTGACTTAAGCATAGGTGGGCAGTTTGGAAACCAAGAGTGCAGAATATGGCAGAAAGAAAAGTAAGAGAGAATATATAAAATATAAGACTGAGGGCCGGATTTATCAAGATCCAATTTTGCGTGCAGTAATTTGCGCTCGCAAACTGGAATTTTGCGCGAGGGGCTGAATCATGGTTTGCGGGTGATTTAACAAGAGCGATTGCGTAACTGGTGGCAGGTGCAAAGCTGTTGGAGACGCCCCATTTAAATGATGGTTTTGCGCGTTTTGTGGTTTGCGGCAAAGTAGTTTGTAGTTTGTGCAAACTAGTGCATTAAGAAATTTTAATCTTACAGTGACACCCAATCCCAAAAAATAAAATAAAATATATATATATATAAACTTTGGCAACCTTTATTCCCTAAGGTGGTATGTGGCTGAATTTCTACTTCACTGCAGTAAAAAAAAACAAAAAAAAAACAGGTGTTTTGTATTGGCCTGTAGAAAAATGCACATACCAAATGGCTCAGAAGAAGTGACTGTGGATAAGATGACTGCGCGCACTTCTGAAAAACGAGATTGGGAGATCCCAGATGCAAAAAAGTCCAATGTTGCAAGGAGTTTTGTGATATCTGGTATTGCGTGGGTCCTCCTTGTGGCTGGCTCCTAATCCATTCGGAGTTCCCCCAACAGCTACAAAATGGCAATGCTGGATAAACGAAATGTTTTGATGATCGTTTCCTCGTTCATTCCAAAAATATTCACACGCAGTGAAAAAAATGCGTTCTCTGCCTCTCCTTGCTTCATTTCGATGTCTCCTTCTTGCGACAATAACCGCTGCCATGTGTGCGCAATTACGCATACAGACCATTTGCACCTTCTTTTGAAACGTGTTAAAAATAGAGTCAGATACCGTTAGCAAAATTGCTTTCAGGTTTGATAAATCACTTTGCGAGTGCTAAATTAATATATTTACATGTTCTCCTCCCACAAGACGCACTTTTGCGTGTAAACGCCCCATATTGCATATTCATTGCAGAAAAAGTACTAAATGGATAAGAGGCGCTATTTAGCACGTTTTAAAGACCAAACCTTTTTAGCACGCTGTTGATAGATCAGTTTGTACATTTTTTAGCGTGCGCAGTGAAATAGCTCACGTTTTAATACACGCAAACCTTTGATAGATCCGGCCCTGAGAGGCTGTTGAGATGAAACAAGAGGCATATGCTGTATGGAAAGGAAACACTGAAATGAGACCATAAATATAAGAAAGACAGATGGTATTTGAAAAAAGCCTCAGTGGGTCCGTTACTCTGTAAATATGTGGTGTGAAAACTTTCTTTTATTTTTTTATTTGTTTTGCTTTTAACAACCCAGATGACTGTTTGAACTTGAAGGCAAAAGCCTGATAACTAAGATGCCTTTAACTGTATCTTTGACATCACAGACTGGAGAGATTTTTTTTTCTTCAAAAGATTATAGGTGTAACCGAGTTAGAACTCCTAACATCCACACTGATTATGGCTATAATGTTTTTATCAATATGTTTTAATTGATATATTAACTAGACCAGGCCTGCCCAGTGTCGGCCCTTGAGGGCTGATGTTCTGCAGGTTTTAAATGGTTTCTCTGCTTCAGCACAGCTGATTTCTATTGATAGCTGATTAGCAAGCACTTGCTGAACTGCAGTCATCAGAATCGGCTGCGCTGAAGTAGAGAAACCTCTAAAACCTACAGGAAACTTTGGGCAGGTATGAACTAGACTGTTCTGGAATTGTAGTGTTTGTCTGGCTAAACATTTTCCTCTGTGTTTAAACTCATTGCCTTCTTGAAACACGAAATTATCCCGTTAAGTATAAAACCTAACCTTACCTAAACCACTTCCTTAAATAACAGTAAACTGAATATTGTGCTAAAGAACTAGAAACCATGACGAGTCGAGAGTATCATAAGGTGGAAGCAAGTACCAGTTATCCCTTTCATGCTGAATTTAGTTACTGAGAGGCTACAGTACTTATCCTGAAAGAAGCTAAAATGTTTTAACTATCAGGTTAAATGGAGATGTTCTTCTTTCCAGACAAAGCTTAAACTAATTTGGTTTAATGTCAAGGGAAATGCTTTGAGCAGTCATTGAGCGTTTTAAACCTAACAACACTTAATGTTGAGTCATTTTGAATTATGTAAATGGAACCAAAACCTTGATCATTAAGCTCCTGTCCTCGTGAACATTCCTGCAACATTCAAACCAATTCCATCATCTGTAACCACCTTTACTTGTTGCTCCAATTGTATTCTACATTCTGCATTTAAATGCTCAGGAGCAGTGATCAGCTTGCAGCACCTGGGGAGCATTGGGGATTTAAGGGTTTCGCTCCGGAACCGAGAGAGGCAGCCTGAGGTCTGAAAGCCTGAATTTACTGCCTCTCTTAAAATGTGTAGCGCTTTCTACTATACAAGAGTTTCTGCACATGGTGTGATTGTAGTGGGGATGCAAGTGTGCCAAAAGCAGGAGGAGATGATTAGACTTAAGAGCAGTGTGTTTGAGAAGATGAAAAAATTTAAACAATGATAAGAAACTAATGAAGAGCACAAATCAGCTTAGAAAATGTTTAATAATGCACAACTACATGTTTACAATGAGGTTGAAACAGAGATAGATATTCTTCTTTGTGCTTTTTATTGTTTTTGATCAGAGCAATACTGCACCCTGAAACAAACCGTTGCAACTGCATGGCCTTGTGTGGCAGCGTGAATACAACCTTAGATGTGTGCCCAGTCAAATGGTTTGATTACCCCTTCAGCATCAGGCCTGTTCTACACATTCTTGGTGCTGGCCTCACTATTTGCATCAAGTGTGTTGAAGCAAAGAAGCAGACAAAGGTTTGAGACCACCAGCTGCCCTCGAAGACTGACGTCCAACAGAAACAACACTCTTATATATTGTGTAACCATGCTATCTAGAAAAAAAAAGTTTAACAAAATCACTTAATCACAGAATTATGAGGACAGTTATTGTTGGTGGTTTTATTTAATCGTTTCACTAGACCTACAGTATTAAGAGATAATATAACTACTTAATAGAACTATTAAGAGTTAAAATCAAATGGATTTTTTCCCCCATGAATTAGATAGCTATAGATATTGCATTTGAATTGAGTATAAAATGAGAGAATCAGCTCCAAAGTTTCATGTTCAAGGACGATGCACTTGCTTTTAGAGTTTTATGATCACCATGGTAATTATATTATCAAAGCAGGAAGGATTCTAGAATGCATTTTAAGACAATATTTCACTCAAGGATCGGCCTGAGCTGATTTGTGTGTTTAGTTGTATTCCCAACTTGATTGTCAGCGTTCTTTTCACACTGACTCTCCTTCTTCAGTGGGTAACTACCCATAACAGTAAGCTATTTCCCCTGTGTGCACCATAATTAGATCCTGCAACTCTGTGTTAACTCCTTATTTAAATCATGTTGCTGTCAATAATTCAATAATTAGTTTCCTTTTTCTCCATTCCAGCAGTGTGTGAATAATCAGAATCGTTTCAGTAACAATAAAAGAGGGATTTTGGCTTTGATTTATAATAAAGTCCACCTCTCAGTGTAGATTGTGAGAGTAGATACGTTCTATATTTATCCCTGCTGATGGGTGCAATGCCATAGCTAATGAGGCTAAATCTGTTATTCAGTGACTAATTGTTTGTTATCATTCTTGTGTGCTAAATGTGTGTATGTGTTTCCACAGTTTTATCCTGGTGTTTGGCTGTCTGGTCCTCTCTGTGTATTCCACCATCCCTGCTCACCAGGAATTCTCCTCTCACTGCCTGCTCATCCTGGTAGGACACTCAAGCAAACACGCAAATCTATAAACACACATTCACTGTACAGATTGGTTCTGTAAATCAACACGCACTGTCCAGAGGGTCCATACCTACTTTCTAATATTTAATGTATCATTATTAATCATTAATGTGTTTTTTCAGAAGTCTAATGTTTTTATGTATTCATACTGTAGCCTTTATTATTGAGAGTAATATCTGGATTTGGACCTTGAAAGTTCATATATTTATGTAAAGTAAAGAAAATATAGTCCTCACTTATTTTTTCTTATTTAGATTTATGTGATGATTTCAAAAAGTCAGGCTGAAGTACAGTGGATATACTGTAAGAAAACTACATGCCCATGTTAAAAATACATAATTTAGAGGTCTTTCCATATTTATTTCACCTGTAACATTTTCAGTTTAAACATATATATAAATGTATATATATATATATATATATATATATATATATATATATATATATATATATATATATATATATATATATATATATATATATATATATATATATATATATATATATATATATATATATATATAAATAAATAAACATAAAATAGTAACATGTTGTGGTTCCATAAGTATATCATATATATATATATATATTTATCCAGGGTCGAGTTGTTCTCAGGATCCAGAAACAGGAGATTCTGAAGGGAAATCCAGGTCGGTGACAGGAAGCACCTCCAAGTTCATTAGACAGGCAGAATTCAACAGGGTTTCCAAAGACAGTTCAGGCAAACTGAACAGACGGGAACAGGCAGACTTAGTGGTTGAGAGGTGGAACAGGATCAGGTAATCAGAAACACTAAGGTAACACTGAAACGCTCTCACCACTGGCTCGAGAATAATCTTTCCTGACAACTGGAAGCGGAAAGGTAAAAAAAGATCAGACAGGAAACAGACGGGCTGAGTGATGGAGAGGCTGAACAGAAAATTAGAAACACTAGGGTAACGCTGGACACCCTTTCCTCTATGGTTTTAGAGAAATAACCTGGCCTTGATGACTGGGAGCAGGCAGCTTAAATAGAGGCAGAAGCAGGTTGATCAGATGAGAAGTAATGAGAAACCGGGCAGAATTAGACAGGTAATAGAAATTAGTAAATAAGCCAGCCATCAACGCCAAGATTATGAAAGTTTAATGCAAAAACTGTAACTCACCAATATAAGGACCTAACTGCAGTAAAATATGTTAAGAACCCCTTTAGCATGAAAGTCCAGGTGAAAATGAAAAGTTGCTACAATATCGGAATTAACGACTTGCACTGTTATGCAACTGAATTAAGATATTTCTTATCCATCAGAAGAATATTTCTGTTTGCCTTTCATTTAAGAATGACCATATTCAGGTTGCATATCATATGGTTAAATAAATTAATTGGTCAAATGTTTTAAATAAGAAAACATGGGATATTAACAGGGGTGTTTGTGCTGTTTATATTCACAGTACTAGTAGAAAACCCATTCCTTTGAGTGTGAATACTCAGAGAGAGTGTTACAATTGGCTGGGTTGGTGTGTTTTTTAATGATGTTCCGAGAATGCTGATTTTGCAAACCCAGGTCTATAATGAAACTTAATGAATGCCCAGTGGTGAGTAAAATCAATATTACACACGTCTAAATTAGTTTACCTTGTGCTTACTTGTGATTAAGGGAGTAATCCTTCTGCCAAACAAAGAGATAAATCTTTAGCAGGAATAACTTTAATAAATGAAATCGATTATATCGCCTGTCATTCAACTTTGAATTAAAAAGAAAGGATAGATTTGTTTGTTTCTACTTAATACTAGGTGTAGAACATGACTTCCATGAATCAGTTTTACTATTCCTCTTTCACATTCATGTTTAACATTCTTATAAGGTAATGTTTATATTTCCTGTGTTGTACTCATTGCTTTAGGTTCTCTGGATATGTGAAAGAATTTAGACCTGGTTTTATTTTAGTGCAGGTTTCCCTGCTTTTGTACTTATCTTTTTATTATAAATTGGACTTTTCTTTAAAAATTGCATTACAATTTTACTTTTATTTTGTGGGGGGTTTTCCCTGTGATTTTCCTTTACCCCACCTGTTTTGGATTTTTTATTGCCAAAGCATCAGAACCTCTGGGTTCTGATCTACTGAGATCCCAAGTAGAAAGTGGTAAAATGCTTGTGCGAAATGAAAATAGGTTTGTCATTTAAATGGATCAACCCATTTAAATGAGGATTTTACGAGTTCTACTGCTTGACACTGAGGAGAGTTTGGGAGAGCGGAGTGGCTTTATTTTGCATGTTCCAAAAGCAGCCTCAGTAGCAGGTGTTATGGCTTTAGGGAAAAGAGGCCGACAGAGGAGGAAAAAAAAGGCCTTCTCTGTTTGTGTAAATAAAAAAAAATTAGATGACTATGAGGCACCGACATGGTAGAAGAACTCCTGGAAAAGTCCAGCTGTACGCACTAGTCAAGGTTAATGTTTCAAAATCAGAAAGCAGTCACCACATCATCTCCTCAGACAAACAAGATAAAAAAATAAATAAAAAACATATATATACATATATATATATATATATAATATATGATTTTTTTTTTACAATATATGTTATTGTAATATAATATATATGTATTTTATTTACAATATATGATTATTTTATATTTATTTGAATGATACAGCTGCAAATAAGTATTTGAACACTAAGAAAAACAATGTTAATATTTGCTACAGTAGCCCCTTGTTTGCAGTTACAGAGATCAAACATTTCTTATAGTTTTTTCCCAGGTCAGTCAGGTTTATGTGCTGTTGCTGAGCAACACGTAGTTTGAGTTACCTCCAAAGATTCTCTATTGACTTAGGTCTGGAGACTGGCTAGCCCAATCCAGAACCTTGTTATCATTCTCTCAGACCCAATCCTTGGTTATCCTGGCTGTATGCTGCTGGTCGTTGTCATGCTGGAAGACCCAGCCTCCACCCGTCTTCAATACTCTAACTGAGAGAAGGATGTTGGTCCCTCAAAATCTCTCAATACATGGCCCCAGTCATCCTTTCCTTAATACAGTGCCCTGACCCATGTGCAGAAAAACACCTCAAAGCATGATGCTACCACCCCCATGCTTCAGAGTAGGGATGGTAGTCTTGGAATGGTACTTATCATTCTTGTTCCTCCAAACACAGTTATTGAAATTATGACCAAAAAGTTCTATTTTGGTCACATCTGACCACATGATCATCCACCAGATCATCCAAATAGTCATTGGCAAATTTAAGTCGGCCCTTGACATGTGCTGGTTAAAGCAGGGGAACCTTCCGTGCCATGAATGATTTCAAACCATGACGTCTTAGGGCCGGATTTATCAAGATCCAATTTTGCGCGCAGTAATTTGCGCTCGCAAACTGGAATTTTGCGCGAGGGGCTGAACCATGGTTTGCGGGTGATTTAACAAGAGCGATTGCGTAACTGGTGGCAGGTGCAAAACTGTTGGAGACGCCCTATTTAAATGATGGTTTTGCGCGTTTTGTGGTTTGCGGCATGGCGAGTTTGGACAGCAGAAAGCGCAAAAGGAAATTCGACCCCATGGAAATGGAGGTGTTGGTGGATGAAGCCAACAAACATTTAAGTGAACTACAGCAAAGAAGTGTGACTGTCACACAGAGGAACGCTATATGTGAACAAATCTGTAATAAAGTAAGCGCTGTCGGTGAAACCTTGCGAACAGTGGATGAAGTAAAAAGAAGATACCAGGATATTAGAAGGCAAACCAAAGAAAAACAGGCATATAACAAAACATCTGCGAACAAAACAGGAGGGGGCACAGTAGATGAGATGCCTCTGACCAGCATTGAGGAACAAGTACAGCTGACGCTCTGTGAGGAGCAAATCACTGGAATTGCAGCTCCAAAATGTCAATGCTGGATAAACGATATGTTTTGATGATCGTTTCCTCCTTCATTCCGAAAATATTCACACGGAGTGAAAAATGCGTTCTCTGCGTCTCCTTGCTTCATTTCGATGTCTCCTTCTTGCGACAATAACCGCTGCCATGTGTGCGCAATTACGCATACAGACCATTTGCACCTTCTTTTGAAACGTGTTAAATATAGAGTCAGATACCGTTAGCAAAATTGCTTTCAGGTTTGATAAATCACTTTGCGAGTGCTAAATTAATATATTTACATGTTCTCCTCCCACATGACGCACTTTTGCGTGTAAACGCCCCATATTGCATATTCATTGCAGAAAAAGTACTAAATGGATAAGAGGCGCTATTTAGCGCGTTTTTAAAGACCAAATCCTTTTAGCATGCTGTTGATAGATCAGTTTGTACATTTTTTAGCGTGCGCAGTGAAATAGCTCACGTTTTTATACACGCAAACCTTTGATAGATCCGGCCCTTAGTGTATTACCAACAGTAGCCTTGGAAACAGTGGTCCCAGCTCTTTTCAGGTCATTGTCCAGCTCCTCCCTTGTAGTTCTAGGCTGATTTATCACCTTGGTTAGGATCATTGAGACCCACGAACTGAGATCTTGCATGGAGCCCAATTCCTAGAGAGATTGACAGTCATGTTTTGCTTCTTCCATTTTTAATGATCCAACAGTGGACCTTTTTTCACCAAGCTGCTTGGTCATTTCCCTGTAGCCCTCTTCAGCCTTGAGTAGGTGTACAATTTAGTCTCTAGTGTCTTTGGACAGCTCTTTAGTCTCAGCCATGTTAGTAGTTGGATTGTTACTGATTGTATGGGGTGGATAGATGTCTTTATGTAGCTAAAGACCTCCGACAGGTGCATCTAATTTATAATAATAAATTGAGTGGAAGTGTACATTTTGAAGCCAGACTAAAGGGCTAGTCATAATCCAGCAGCAGTGTGTCATAGTGAGCTTGTCACAGATATTCTTTATTTATGCTCAGTATTGAAGTGTCTGTGCTGTATAATTCCACGCCACAACGCAAGAGGGACAATCATGAACTAGTTGTGGGTCTAGATATGTCCTAGGCGTTGAGGGAGCGGTGAGGGAGTGGAAAAACACAAGGGGCAAGTTTGGGACATGAGGGTGAAAAAGAGTGGGGATCCAATTGGAAAAAGGGTCCCAGTGTTCTTGCACACCTCGCTCTTCCAACTGGTCCATCTTCACGAGTCATTATCCACAATGCCCGTCATACAAACAAAATAAGCTGGTAAGATACCAAACAGGAAATACGCATAGTGTAGAGTAGATGTAGATTTGACCAATAAGAGGCCTCCTGTCTGCGGCAACGTCTGCAGTGCCCCACAGTTTGACAGAGGTGCACCAGAGTATCTGCAAGTGGCATATTTGCGTTAACTATTTGCGTTAGCTGCGACACACGCAGACGACCTGGTTTCTGAGTATAAATCAGCCTTAACAGGTCTTTGAGGGTCAGAGTTCTGTCTGATATACAGGTGTTCAAATACCTATTGGCAGCTGTATCATACAAATAAATAGTTAAAAAGTGATATATTTTGTTTTCTGGATTTTTTTTCTAGGATAATCTCTCACAGTGGACATGCAGTTACGATGAAAATTTCAGACCCCTCCATGATTTTTAATTTAAAAAAACAAACCAAACAAAACTTCAGCCTTTATTATTACTTCCATCTAAATCATCTCCTTGGGCGAAACTGCTCACATAGCGTGAATCACATTTGTTTGCATTATTTTTCCATGGACCGCCTGGTGATACCTTGCAGTGACTATTTCTTATGTTTTGCATTTGCTGAATTTAAATTATATGTTTGCGTATGTGTGTCTTAAAGGAGTTTGTGATGATTGTAGTATTTGGCCTTGAGTACATCATCAGGATATGGAGTGCTGGCTGCTGCTGTCGGTACCGAGGCTGGCAGGGACGCCTCCGCTTTGCCAGGAAACCCTTCTGTGTAATAGGTGGGTATGATTAAAATCATAGACATACAAATATACGAAGGATGTAGCTTGGAAATCTCTGATTCACTGTATCTGTCAAAACAGATATTAGCCAGAATATTGTTAAGCTGAGTCTAATAATCAGTATACTACTATTTAAAGTTTATTTTTTTCAAAAAAAGCAATTATAAAGAGTAGGTTTCTGTCATAAGCACTATAATAAGAAAAAAAGAAAAGACAAAAGCAGCCTGTTGGGAATCAATAGCTTTTCTTAAAGGAGATGGATGACTGCCTGGTTGGATTTAGAAACCAGGTGAGTCAACCACAGTTCCTGTTGCTTATATTGTGCTACCCATGACCTTTAATTTTCACCGCTTTACTCCCCAGACATCATCGTACTTATCACCTCGGTTGCTGTGGTTTCAGCTGGTAGCCAGGGCAACGTCTTTGCCACCTCTGCGCTGCGTAGCCTTCGCTTCCTTCAGATCCTGCGCATGGTGCGCATGGACCGCAGGGGAGGGACCTGGAAACTGCTGGGATCTGTAGTTTATGCACATAGCAAGGTAGGACATTGATGCTCCCTGAGCTGTAACCTTTTTCCAGTTGACATTTCCTTTCCAGTGAGAAATTTGTTGGATATCAGTGTTGAGATGTTGATATTGTTTTACTCGAAATGGCCCCCACTAAGAATGGATTTGTGTTATTTTTATCCATGCTGCAAGCTCCAGTCAGGATTTGGCTTTTTAAGCATGTCTAGTTCATGTGTTTTGTTACATTGATTAGTGAAAGCTCACAAAAAGGCACAGCTGGAGACCTTTATTGACATAACAAAAAATATTACAAGGAATTTAGTATGGAAATATTTAATGTATTGTTTGTATAATTGGAATGAAGTAGTGCTACACATGTAGGAAGTATTTACATTCTTCTCTTAAGTGCCAGCACTGTATGTCTGCAAGTATATTCTTTTAAAAGTACATGATACATCAATTTTATTAAGGGGAAGAGGCATGAGGAGTGGAACATAAACAGGCCAATATCAGATAAGTATGGAAGTAAAAATTATTTAAGAGTAATTCCCTTATGAGTTGAGTTTTTACTCCATTACACAATGACTTACAAACCTATTCAGAAGTTCATTTTTTTGTATTTATTTTTAGATTATTACAACCTAATTCGATTAAACAAAATATAACTGAAAGAAGTAAATTGTCCATGTCTTTTGGTCAACTTAAAACATTGATTCAACTTTAAAAAATATATACTTGTTATGTATTTTATATAGTTTTGAATATATATTGTTGAATACTAGTTTCTGTGTAAATTTCTACTTCAAGTCAAAGGTAATAGTGTCACTAGGGGCTTATCCTTTCACATGCTGTAACTCGCGTGAATGAAACCTCATTACCTGACGAATCCAAAATAGGTGTGACCAGCACAGCAGCACTATTAGCACATTACATTCCAAAAATAAACATACAGACATGGCTATTATACCAGTACCTATCCTGTTAATCATAGAGCAGTATCAGCATGGATATGGTGAATAATGCACTTTAATTTAATTCAGTTTATTTATATAGCGCTGAATTCACAACACATGTCATCTCAAGGCACTTTACAATAGACAATATCCAACGCTTTGACCATCTTACAAAGCAGTCAATACCTAAACCCTATAGAGATACCCACGGCTAGTCCTGAAAACAGATTATCAGAGCTCTCCCTGTATGAAGCTCTTAGAAACAAACTTTTGCAGCTGTGCATTTGGCTTGCTGTTTAAAAAAGGTATGAAATGTCACTGCAGACATTTTATCTGCACTTACAATATCAGTGCAAATGCTGAAATAATTGCTAATTCCACAAAGATAAGTGTTTATTGCTAAGGACTAAGTTTAATAAAAGGAGTTAAATAACACAGTTATGGGATGTATGTCAGAATTACCATTTAACTTTAATTTGCTAATACTAGAAATCCTGTGCACTGTAAACTTGTTGAATTATTTGATTTAGGTCAAAGGTTTTATTTGGTTTATATTTCTAACTGCTTATTAATTGGTTGCAGCGTAGGATAATGTTTTGTTTTTATTTTATTGGTTTATGGGGAGAAAAAGTAATTGATTTGTTAGCAAACGAGTAAGAAGCCCTTAGGGACTGTTTGACACACTTTTCTGTTCAAGTGCTAAATTAGATTTCATTGCAAATGCCATGGTTTCAAATAAAATGCTCCAACATTACCTTATTCTGAGTAACACATAATTATTATGATTTTTGCTTTCAGGAGCTGGTGACTGCTTGGTATATAGGGTTCCTCGTGCTTATCTTCTCCTCCTTCTTGGTCTATCTGGTGGAGAAAGAGTTTAACAAGGAGTTTGACACGTATGCTGATGCGCTGTGGTGGGGGACGGTAAGGAAACAGATCCCAGACACTCAGAACAGTCTGTTTGAATGTCACACTGATGAAGTACTTGCTAACATATTTTGTGCGGGATAATTTTTTCCCTTTGCTTCTTCATATATTTGCAGTTAGGCTTTTCAGATACTGTTTTTTTTTTCTGTGTAAAGCAGAGGCATCTGGGTCGGGAAAGTAATAAGATTTAGCCTCTTCTGAATTTAATCAAGTAAAAAAAAACTATTTCTCATTATTCTGACATTTACCAAAATGAAATGATTTTATTAAATCTAACTGACCTCAATCATAGAATGTTTTTTCTGATTTAATATGACTTGGTGGAAGGGGAAAAAAAGATGTTATGTTTTTTTTATACAGTATTTTAACACTTGGTTTGAGCCATAACCACAATTTTTTATATTATTTAATTACTCTCACCTATTCGATTTCAGTGGAAATTAGATACTGTTAAAAAAAACTGTAGGAGCTAGGCTGCATCCATTGGACAACAGTGATGAATTTCCATTTCCACTTTAAAGCGACTCTTACAACAACAGCAATCCAGAAACCCACTCAAAGGTTTTTTTTTCTTATATTACACTCGGCTGGCTGCACCGCACTGTTTCCTCCTATATCCTCCCTAGAAAATGGGGAAGCAGACAAGACACAAACAAGAAATGGACCAATCAATAAATTCAATTTCTTCCTGCTGCCAGGTGAAGCTGGCCTCAGAGGCTTCTGGGATCGACACTTAGACATTGTGTGTTCCTGTGCTGTGACATCGTGGAGCCTCTCACTTCTCCTAGAGACTAAAAGCTGCTGTATAGAAAGTGTTCAAAGCTGAAGTCTGAGCACATAAAGCTTTAAAGGTGTAGGAGTCAACACAAAAGCTGTCAAAGAGATGAAAATATGTGTCTGCTGGGCATGCTGATGGAGAATTACATTTTTCTCTTCGATGTACAGAAGCTTGACGTATTAATAATGTTTATCCTTCACATTGGTTTTATTTTATTGGTCTTTCAATCTGCATTTGCTTTATTAGACATATGTGTCTGAATGGTATAGAAACGTATTTTAAATGCATCCAGAATTTCTATTCAGTCCCTAATAGATCAAGATTTATAAATGTTTCTTAGAGATGGATTAGAAAAGGCAACACAACAGAGGTTAACCAACTTTATTGCCTCACAACAACCAGAGCAAGGTAATTTCAGAGAAGCCAAACAAAGGCATTTCTTGGAATATTATTTCACTAATTATATATATATGATTTTATATTCTTAACCTCCAAAGACCAGATAGGCTCTGTATTAGAAAATGTTGAGTTAGGTAAGGTAAGAAAAAAGAGGCCAGATTTCTTATGACTATTTCTAGAATTTGATGATTTTTAATGGAAAAAAACATCTTTTACTCATAAAAATAATTTTCTTTTAATTCTTCTGTAAAATATACAGAACTAGAAGAATTTATGTATTTTAGGGATTTTAGGGAACCACAATCTTTTGTAATTATCTGAGTCTTACAAAATACAGTCCCAGTTTGAGATTCAATTCAAATTTAAGATATCTTCTGTATTTGGATCTTATTTATCTGTACAGTAAACATTGAAAATAAAGGACATGAAAGCCACTTGATCCAAATCCACATCAATGCCTCTCGAAACAAACGGAAAATACTTGTTTAACGTTATAGAAAAATTAAACTGTGTATCCTACACACATGGTAAAAAGATCTCTAATATGATATATATATATATCATAATAGGGGTACAAATAAATAAAGGAATGAGTTGACCCAGAACCCACCGAGAGCTGTCTGTATATTCAAGCAAAGCAGGCAGAGGAGGTGACATGACACAGACAGAAAGCCAGAGCAGCCTGTCTGTGTTTTTCCCCATGCACATCGTAGTAAAGGGTTTGGTTTGAAGTAAACCTCAAATTACATCAACAAAGCAATTCGCATATAAAGTAAATAATACAGTTTTAAAAGCTGTACTCCTACAATTAGTACTTACTGTTAAAAGTCACCTCACGTATTTGGCATATGTTGCTGGAGATGCAGTCATTTGGAAATGCTATGATCATTATTGGAGGGGTTAAGAGAGCAGATCTTAATAATGTTACCAGGACCGCTAATAATGTTGTAGACTCCCTGGCAAATACGTCACGGTTGATATTTTAGCTTGTCCCCTGCAAATACCAGTAAATAGACAGGTTGTTATTAAATAGAAAAGCGTGATGTTGTGCAGATGCTCCTTTTGCCTAAGCCTGTTTGCAGTCTCATACCTATTTTCTCCACTGTGATTTAACTAAATAAACTGTATTTTACTGTTATTTATTCTAAAATGAAATAAGAAAAAAGTTTTTGGCTGTTATTCTAATAACTCTGACTTGTTTTTTAACATAATACTCCTTAGCAACTCTAACAATCCTAGCAAAAGTGTGATGAAAATAACCCAAGAAAAAACATGTTCCCATATATTTTGGGTTATGTTTTTTTTTTACTTGAAATGTGTACATTTTACATGGTATTAGAGTTTGTTGGAGCATACATTTTTGACTTTTAAAATGTTGATCCTTTAGATTACCTTAACAACTATTGGCTATGGTGATAAGACCCCGCAGACGTGGACTGGACGGTTGTTGTCGGCTGGTTTTGCTCTGCTTGGGATCTCCTTCTTTGCCCTGCCAGCTGTGAGTAAGGCGCATCCATGCGAGCTCACTGAAGATTTCTTTTCTAATCATTAGTCTAATTTTCTGTTTTTGGGGTTTGGATTTCGGGCCTTGTAGGGCATACTGGGTTCGGGTTTTGCACTGAAGGTGCAGGAGCAGCATCGGCAGAAGCACTTTGAAAAACGTCGGAATCCAGCCGCCAGCCTTATACAGGTATGAACATGGTGGACAAAGACGTCTCTTATATTTTGGATTCTTCATTTCCCAGCAGCAACTGCAGCCTTAGAGGACTTACATTAATATGGACGTCTAACTTTCTCTTTACACTTGCTTTTTCAATGTTTGTTTCCATTTCCTTGGCTATTCTCTGCCTTGTTTGTCATTTTAATATCAGCATGACTGCCTCCACAGCAGGAAAATGTAAAGAGGTCTAATTAAGTTAGCGTGTGTATGTCATATGTGTATGTTAGTCTTATTCAGGCCGCCGTTTGGTGCAGCTGACGGAGACGTATGATGTGTGAAGTACACCTTAGGTCAAACAGGTCAAACACAAGCTAGAGAGATTTATGAGCCGTTTCCATAGCGATCATTCCCCAGGCAGACGCTCCTACAGACCATCACTCATTGTTATAGACAAGACCAGCTGCATTGCTTTCTAATGAAAAACAAATACTGTACCTGCTATGGAGTGTCAACATAAAACAGAAACAGCTTAATTTCTGGTGTTTCAGTGTTTTTGTTTTTTTCTTGTAGATTTGTTTGAGGTATTCTGACAGTGTCTGTATGCATTCTGTCAAACTTTCTCTCCTTATTTCCTTATCCTCCTTATATCTCGCCTTTGAAATACACCATCTTGTAAAGCAATCTAAAAACGGACTGCTTTTTCTTGAAGTCTGTGTCAGGATCCACGAATTATGATATTCAGCATTGCTCTAAATAATTATAGATATCATGTTTGCGAATCTGGTAGAAATGTAAAAAAAAAAAAAAAAAAAACTAAAAACAAAAGAAAACCAATTTTGTTAGTGTTGCAATCTGAAGCTAAAACTTAATGAATCCTGAAATGAAAATTATTGTTGCAGAGCTGCCCTCCTTTTGCCAGCAGGACAGAATTTATTGTAATTTTCTCCTATTACGTGTCTCCAGACGTAAAGAGAGAAACCATTAATCTTTGCTCAGTATCATCAGGAGCCCTGGGTCTGCTCTCATAAACTATCTTCTTTTCAGTTCATACTCAGGATTTTCATTTTAATGTATTTATTAGCTTTGTCTCTTAGATAATGATCCTCCCAACAGAGCAGGTAAAGACCCATTTTTAATTTAAGTTCCACTGCTTTCAGATTTTTACCTGATATTCGTTTGTATTATACAGAGATTCGATGCAGGGCCTCATGGGAGCGGAAGAAGGCCCGGAGCACCACACGTCTTCCACCTTACCTATCAGAACGAATATTGTCATCATTTTTGTCAGCCTTTTTCTTTATTTACACCAAACTGAAAATAATTGTTTTGACTCCCAAACAAAAAAATAGCATGTAAATAGCAACTGGTGAAATTCGTCCCTTTTTTTAGTCCAGCTCTATTTTTTCCAGTTACATTAATTTTAAGCATATTAATTATTTCTCCAATGTAGAAGTATCCATCAATCAATCAAAAGCAAATAAAATAAACCTACATTTGCTTTACTGAAAAAACACATTTTCTTCCCTACTTTTTAAGAACAGCTGAGAGAAAAGGTTGTCTATCATGTAACATTCATATTTTAAGGAAACAAAAACAGGAACCACTAATTAAGGTTCACCAACTTGAAGATTTGTGACATTTATTTCATACAGTAGATGTTCCTAGAGCTGCTGCTGCTGGGGTGGCCGCTTCATAAACACAATTATTTATCAGAATAGTATTTCTCCCCAAATAAATAAATGTGGTTAATTGCAGAATTAAAACAAAGGATGCTGAAATGAAAGATTAAATTCTGTTTATGTTTTTTATACATCTTTACCAGATCTGCAAACAAAACTGAATGGGGCGGTCCTATAAAGACATTTAAGTCCAAACTGGTTGGTTGTGTTTGTGTTATTAGCTTTGTCTGGCTTGCATACTTGCTAAGTGTTTAATATCTTTTTCAACAGGTAACTTCAGAAGAAAACTTGGAAGCTGTTTTGTTGTACCAGATATGACATTATCACTGTGTGTCAGTGCACCCCACCATTTCTCACATCCCCCTGCTTTCAAATAACTGTTGGTTTCTGAGTGTTGTCTGCATGGAGGGCAGGAAATTACCACTGGGCTCAATTCACAGCAGTCAATCTATTGAAAAGGAGCTGCTACTCCAGCATGCTTTCTTCCCTAAAGCTGGGAGTTCAGAGACATGCAGATATATTTCAATTGGTGACAATAGTTCCTACATTTGTTGGGGTCCAGTGTTGATTTCAAACAAGTCTTCAAAGGTTTTGAGTTTTTCAGCCTCGTCTCCAGACTTGTATTCGTGCCTGGCATCAATAAGGAGGTTAAAGTTATCTTTGAGTAAAACACTTGCTGCAAATATTTTTTTTCAACCATGCATAAACATCGTGTTGGATTATTCTTCATAAAAGTAGTTTGTTGCAAATCGTGTTTTATTCTAAATTAAGACTCTCGGACCAAAGCTTTAAAAAAAAAAAAAAGTTGAATCTACTCTACGTATGTATAGTATGGAAACAGAATCAAACTAAGGAGGAACCCTATGAGATAATGAACAGGTTCTATCTACTAGAACATTTTCAGACAGAAAAAAAAATCCTTGTTAAAATGACCATTTCAAACAAAATTACATTCTTTACATCTAGAATAAAAATTCCCGATGTCTAATAATTAATTAGAGATCTACAAATTCCTATTGTTACCGGTCAGCATTTGTATTATTTTAACTTCATGAACATGAAGGAAAATTTACCATTTTTCTTCATGTTCATGTTTTTTTAATTCAAACCAACATTGTTTTTATTGCATCATTAGACTAAAAGAAAGTGGATTTTCTTTGTTTTTCTATTCCTGCTTACTCTAATTTCTATATTTAATAGGGTTGTCACGATACTAAACTTTTCAACTCGATACCGATACTAAGTAAAATATTCGATAATCGATACCATTTTCGATACCACAAGGATACAATTTCAAAAGAAATATTTTGATTAATAATTAAAATACAACAAATAAATAAATACAATAAACAATAAGAACAACATTTTGAGGTTGTTTGCTGTGCACAATATTAAGCAAGCTTGATAAAAAACTTACAAAATTAAAATTAAGTTTTCCTTACTTGGCTATGCTTTGCACACATAACAATGACACTAGCCAAACCGGTTAAGAAACAAAAATAATTCTCAGCAGCTGCAACTGTTACAAAAAAAGTCTGAAACTGAAAAGTGCGTAGAATTATTCAATCACAGTGTTCAGAAAGTGCATTTTCCTCTATTCTGCACTTTAGATGAATGACTGTTTAGGTGCGACTGGTACTCGATACTTTTGAAAATGAGTATTGTATCCGGATACAACATTTCAGTATCGGTACTTTTTTGAGTATCGATACTTTTGACAACCCTAATATTTAATGTTCTAAAATGTATTTAATTTAGCTAAATTGTACTTTAAAAGTGTAAGCAAGAAGAGAATCAAACAGAAAACTACAAAGACACAAAAAAACAAGTCTGATTTTCAAAATATTAAAGGGATCCAGGTATCAATAATGTAGATTAAATTTTAGCATCAGACATGTGCTTAAATTGTTTGTTTTGTTTTTAAAGTGAGTAATGAGAGTAACTCTGGGTGTTTGAAAGGGCAGAAGCTTAATAATCTGTTCTTTTCTGGTTTGTCAAATCAGCAAAGCACCTAACTTTGAAGATCTACTGATTATTTAGGACCTCCTATTTGATGCCAGCATGGTACATCTCTGTATGTCAAAAGTTCACATTCATTTCTTTTGCTCAGTTTACTTGAGTTTTTGCCCTTATGTTTGGTGTTTTTCTGTGTGTTACACATGAATGTTTGTATCCTGTCCATCTCTACTCCCTCCACCCACCCAGGCGGCTTGGCGTCTGTACTCCACCGACGGTGCTCGTCCTTACCTCAGAGCCACATGGCATCACTACCACAGCGCACTCCCCCCCTTCAGGCATGTATCCCCTTCACCAGCACCACCAGCACCGCCCCACCTACCCTCCAACAACCCCCTACTCAACAACACTGCATCAACTCTACACAAAAAAAACTAACAAAGATTTTCTTTTTTCTCTGTTTTGTGCCCCTTCACCATCTCTCTCATGTCCTACCCAACTTAAACAAACCTGACCGTTATTATTTTCCTCCTTACATTTCATTAATTATTTGTTTTATCATTATTTATCCTCTCAACTTTGCACGTAGTGTGTCTGGCGTAGTTATGCTGCTGATGAGAACTCGGTTTCTATTGCTACCTGGAAGCCTCATTTGAAGGCGTTGCATACCTGCAGCCCTGCCAAGTAGGTAACAACTTGCAGACTTACAAACATGGCTGCTGCTGTTCATCAACTCTTGCTCATCAATTGACGTCTATCTGTCGCCGCTGATGTTGTTTTTTCCCTCAACTGACTGCTCCTACTAAAATGTTTTAACCATTGCTGTATCTTTTAACATTTTCTTTTCCCATCAGGCTTGTTTTGCTTTTGCAACTAGCAACATTCTTTAAATTAAGCTGATAAAGGACCTTAGATCTTCAGGTTTTCTGAATACTTTTACTTTTAGCAGAAACCACCTATTGTTATCTTTTAAAAAAAGAAAATAAATATTAAGTAATATAGACATCGAGTATGTCCCCAAAAAAGTATATATTCACTATCAACGCTTTTCTGAAGCATTTGGGGGGTTTTTTTGTTTCAATTCAGTAAAACATTATATGTGTTCATCCAAGATGAAATAGTGTGTAATACTTAAGTTGAACAATACTATTAAATCTGATACTTCTGCAGGCTCCAGTGTTTAGTTAGAGATCAGACATGCACCGATCTCGTTTTTTACCAATCCAACCCAGTGCCGATACCTTTGACTGAGCATAGCAGCTGATACCTGATATCAATCCAACACTGTTTAATAGGTTAAAGCTTTAGGCTTGACATCAACATTGTTCAAAAAAAGGGGAAAAAATTAAACAAATATAAACGGACTTACTCTTATTAACATATAAAATGTACTTTAGTAGCAAAAAGAAATATATACTTGCATGTAAAATGTAACATAAAGCATAGCAGTTGCCTAAAACTCGCTGTAGATCTCTTTGAACTGTATTGCTTTATATGTTAGAATTAAAATGAATTTGAATGCTTGATCACCCATTCGATTTCTGATCCAGGTAAATAGCCAATATCAGATATCTGATCCAATGTTCTGTCAGAACAGCATACGCTGTCAGATTGCCATAAATTGTTCTCAAACATATGCGTGCACATGTGCAATAGAGTGATTTTAGCAGCAGTGTACCAACAAGAAAAACATATTTATTTTAACTTTTAAAAAAAGAAAATCAGCTTTGATTGTACTGTTATTTCTTGGATGCTGAAATGGCCAGACATGACTGAAGTTTCCAGGATGTTGATAAAAGAAACATCTATTGCTAAAAACATCATTATGGATTTAAAATAACTTACTTTAGTTGTAAGAAATGTGACTGCAGGAATTTAAATTTAGTTAGATTTTGTTTTCATGTTCAAAACTTTAGGTTTGAAAAAAACCTAAGCGTATGCAGATCTGACAGCATATGCTATTCTGGTAGAACACCAGCATCAGGAGAAAAAGGAACACTATATGAGAGGAAGGGGAGAAGTTGTGGAGATGTTAGAAGAAGATTTGAACATCTCACAGAACTCTACAGAAGAAAAGGGATTATTTTCCTGTAGCTGGAAAGGCAGATTGAATTGATGGGAAAATATACCAAGCTAGTGTTGAACAGAAACCTTAAACCAAAGAGTGAAACATTTTACTAAGGAAAAGGAAGAATCAAGATACATAAAGAAATTATTTCCAAAATGTATTAGGTTCATTCATTATAAGTACATGCCAAAATTTTCCAGTTTGTATTCTGTCAGATTCTCAATGGTGGTGTTCTTTAAATTTGGCACATTACTAAAGATCCCAGTAAAAACATCAAGGTTTGTAGATCAAACAGGATAAAATGTGCAAAGATTATGCTGGTATAAAAGCATTTGTAAAGCTGTAACACACAGATATTTGAAATGCAAGTGGATTCAATCCAGTTGATTTGCCCCAGACCATTTGTAACTATAGCTTCAATGCTTTACAAAGGTTAATTTAGATCATTGTGTTTTTCTTAGAAGCAGAAGATCACATACATTTATTCCAAATACATGCAGTATGTGCTGAATCCTTTTAAAGTTTCCTGGCTCCCTCTGAGCTGGTGCTTAGCTTGAATCTGCATGGCTACAGCTCGCATGTGCTTTAATGGAAGTTGGCTGTGAAGTTTTTTTTTTTGCTGGACGCCATCCCTAACTATTAATGAAAACGTCCTTATGATTTTATTCGGCTTGATTATTGATTTCTCTCACTTTGTCTCCTCCTCCTTTTTATCCCACTAACCACTGAAGGAAAGAGCAGGGAGAGACTACCTCCAGGTTTGTATAAAACTATAAAGGCATAAAGAAATTAAACAGGCAGTATATCCCAAATGCGTGCTGATGCCTTGTTGTGTTGTTTGGTTTCTCTTGGCCCATTATCATTATCATCATGAAATCTATGCCCAGATTTATTTATTTTCTTGACATTTACAGTTGCCAAAATAAAAGCATCTTCCGATTTTTTAAAGCTTATTAAAAAAAAAGAGAGAGAAGTCTGCTTTTATTGCAGTTACATGTTCATGTCAGACAAATATCAACAAGTACAATCTAACTACAAGGATATTGGTAGATTTGCACTGACCAGAACTTTATTGCCAACGCCTTTTTCTGTTAAGCTTCAGTCTGCTGGTTCTGATTTCAGCTGATCGGATTTCATTTGGAGAACGTTGAGATAAAACACAAGAACAGCATTCAGAATGTTTCTTTCTGTATTTCCTCCTGTGAGCAACCATTGGGTTAAGGGCCAAGCCGATGACATTTTACATCTGTTAGACAGTCCTCACTGTACACGACGTTTCACTAATTAGAAACAAAGATGAAACAGTTACAAAGCTAAAAATGTGTTTAGCATCTTATATTTGCAATTAGTTCTACTAGAACTATAAAACATATGTCTTCATGGTATAAGAGCATTTTAACATTGAGATTTCCAAATCCAACATGTTCAGTGATATATACAGTAGGGTTAAAATCTCTGAAGAATAAAACAGTGCCTTCCTGTTATCACTGTAAGTCTAGCTCTCTCTTGCAGCCTAAATGAATCAGATATTTCGACATGTCATGGTCAGGACGGTTTCTAAAGCTAGTTTGGTAACACAGAAAATAGCTCAATTTAATCCTTTGTAATGAAAACGTCGACATGGAAGTGTGTTTTTGTCAGACCTGATCTTGAGCCACACTTGGTGGTTAGAACATACCACTAAAAAGGCACAAAAAAAAGGGTTTATGTCGATGGAGGAGGTTCACAATTGAATCCTGTTGCAGAACAGGCTCCAAAAGAAGAATGATTTTTGTTACCTTTTTGCAATATTATAAAACAACCTGTGCTTTAAGGCAACATGCAGCATCTTATTATCCTATGCTCTGTTTCTTTGGTCGAGCTTTATCTTTTTATGTTTTGAGGCTTAGTCTCCTCTTCTTCATGTCTTCCCTTTCAAAACGTGACCCTTCACCAGTAATAAAGTGATGAGTGTCTCTGCTGCGTGTGTGTGCTTATTCTTTCTCACATGCCTTCAAAGACAGAAGTCTGTACCATGTCTGTACCATTACACACTTTTTCCATTGAGATGGTATTTATATAACTCATCAAACACAAGTCTAGAGGAGACTGATTAAAGCTGAAAAAGGGGGAGGGGATCAGGCGAGGAGGGGGGGCTTAAGAACAAGAGGATTTTAAAAGACAGAAAGAGATTTGTGAGTTTAATTGTGCTAGTATAGTTTTTACTGTGCAGCGCCTCTTTGTCAACATTTGGGCCCCTTATGTTCAGCCAGCAGCTTCATATGTGTCTAAACTGGAGAAAGCCACACACGTACAAGTTTAAAAGGGAATCGGTTTTTGCTTTCTGCCAAATGCACAAACAAATGTGCTTCTTGTTCTTCAACAAACCAAGATTTAATGAAGCTTTGTTGCTTCCACAACATGTATTCCCCAAAAACCCTCCTGCCTCAATGACTTAGAGTAATTATGTTTTCCTTTCTTAGAAACTTTTCGCTGCAGCCAAGTCCAATTTACACTTGTTAAATCATAATTACCCAGACTTTTATGACACTATTTTCTTTTCCCTTGTGCTGCCCTTTTTATCGAGGGAACACGTAAAGGCTCTGCGTTATTAGCGGTTTCACAGACTGTCGACTCACGGCAGCTCGACGGCGGTAGGTGCCGTGGTAAACGGCCTGTGATGTTCATTTAGCAGACTTGTAAACACCAGCAGTTGTAAATGTGGGGTGCACCGCAAAGTGCTGCAGCGGATATCAAGCTGTGTGTAAGTGAGTTTGAGTTGGAGGCGCGAGATGAAAGATTGCCGAGTTTGGTCTTTGGTTTATGAGGGCAGACAGGTGGGGTATGTTGAGCTTGTTTGTATTTTGTGGCTTACTTAAGTTTAATTCAACCCCTATTTGATTTGGAAAGCCATGAAAAAAAACAGCGACTAATAAACAACTCATGAAATGAACTTGTTTCTTTGGTGCTTTTAATCTGGATGTTATCTGTAAGTGTTCAAAGCTGTAGCTATCCAGTTTGTTAAATAAAATGTATGCAGCTATTGGCAATTTCTTTTGCAATGTGACTCAAAGAACATCAGTCAAACCAAACTAAGCAAACAGAGCTATTACATTTGACATGTTTATTCTAAAACTAGCAGAGATGAAAGTGAATGCAACATGTTGCTTACAAGCAGATAGTGAGAAAAGGTTCAGGACACACTGCCTTACAAAAGTAGCCATAATGTATATACACATCTATATTTAGCTTTGTGGTGGTGGGGCGATTGTGAGGATTTGGGGGTAGTCATGTTGCAACTTAGATGACTTTGGAAAGTTAAATGTTATGTTTGTTATATATTGTTGTGTTTTTATACAGATTTAGGCTGCCTCTCCCCTTCAACAAGCCCCCAATTTTTTCAGTTAATACGTTTCTAGAGGTATTGACATGACATTTTCACCAGATGTCGGTAACAATCCATGCAATCTACACATGCAATGAAATAAAACCATAGATGTACAGAAATTTTTATGTGTAATAAAGTGAAAGGGTACAGAGAAAAAGTACTGAACACACTTACTGAAATGTATTTAATACATTGCCTTTGTTGGCAATGACAGCTTCAAGACGCCTCCTGTATGGAGAAATTAGTTGCATGCATTGCTCAGGTGTGATTTTGGCCCATTCTTCCACACCAACAGTCTTCAAATCTTGAAGGTTTTTTTTTTACATTGGATTCAAGTCAGGTGATTGGCTTGGCCTTTTCAGCAGCGGAGAGTGTCCTGTGTGTTCTGGGTCATTGTCTTGCCGAAATGTCCACCAACATTTCATCTTCATCCTTCTGGTAGATGGCAGCAGATTTTTATCAATAATGTCTCTGTATATTTTCCATTTATCCTTCCTTCAATTATTTGGAGTTTGTCAGTACCATATGCTGAAAAGCATGATTTTCCCACCTCCAAACTTCACTGTTTGTATGGTATTTTTGGGGTGATGATCAGTGCCATTTGACCTCCAATCAGGATGTGTATTATGGCATCCAAAGAATTCACTTTTGGTCTCATCTGACCAGACTATATTTTCCCAGTATTTCACAAGCTTGTCTAAATGTTGTTCAGCTAAGTTTAAACAAGCTTTAACATGCTTTTTCTTCAGCATTGAAGTCTTGCGTTTTGAGGTTGCTTACATACCGTGCCAATTTAGTGCATTGCTTTTTATCTTCCTTGAAACAATGGTTCCCACTAATTCCAGGTGTTTCATAAGCTCTCTGATCTTTGGCTCTTGGACAACTCTTCTGATCAGTCTTTTCACTCCTCTGTCAGAAATCTTGCAAGGAGCACCTGGTCACGGTCAGTTTATGATGAAGCAATGATTTTTCCACTTCCGGATTATGGCCCCAACAGTGCTCACTGTAATCAATGCCATCATTATTTGCAATGATACGTTTACGAAGGTCCTGAGAAAGCTCTTTACTTTTACCCATCATGAGGAGTTTCTTGTGTGATACCAGACACAACTTTTTCATAGGCCATCATTTGGGACTGAACCAGCTGATATTAGTTTGCACTGACAAGGGGTAGGATGGCTTTCTAATTCCTTAGAGACTTCGACTGGGGAATTACCTTTTCATTCCTTTTTTCACCTCTCTTTCTTCACGTGTTTAATACTTTTTCCCTTATGCCATTCCACTTTATTATACATAACTTAAGTTCTGTACATCTATGGTTTGAATGCTTTGTATGTGTGGATTGCATGGATTTTTATTGATGTCTGGTAAAACATGTCATATCAGAGAGAGAGAAAGATATTTTTGTTTTACCAATAAAAACCCAAAAGATGTAGGTTCTTTGTTTTTTTCTGTTTTCAGTTACACTTCCTGTAGGTTTTTTTTTCATAAAATGTTTGATTTTGATATTATAGTTAAAAATTAACTAACTCTAGGTGTATTTTTAGGGTCCTATCGAATGGAGAACTTGATCCTAGCCCCAAGTATGCAGGAGGATTTCCTCAATATTTGTCTATATTCTTCTTTCTCTTAACTTCAAGTATTTTCTCTGTCCTTGCTGAAGAGAAGCAATCTCCTGTTCTTTCTCTACATCTTTGTTGAGTCCCCTTGAACAACTTACAGAAAACTGCAAATAAGAAAACTTATTTTCAGCTGATGAACTGATGTGGTCTGTAAGATGTCTAATGTCTGAAACCAGGGATGATTATTTATAACTTAACTCTTCTCAAAGTTTCTCTTGCCATGTCCGTAGTCTTCTTGATCCTGTACTTTCACTAGCTCAAAAACCTGAGGCCATTACAGAGAAGCTGGATTTAAAATTTAAACAACTGGACTTCATTTTACTTATAAGATTGCATCTAAAAGCAGTTTCACTGCATTTTGCTGTGCTAATAGAAGGAATTCTTTTTAATAACAATTATTTCCTTCATTTATTTTTAACATTCAGATATTCTTGCAACTTCACAATTACAGTATAAGTGCATCAGGGTTATAATTATAAAGTCAAATGTAAAGAGTTGTAGGTTCAGTAGATCCTGTGATCGTAACGCTGTACCGATGAGAGAAAAAACATCTTTGGCAGAACAAAAATGGATTCTTTGTCAGGGAAACACATTATTCATGTATTTCTTTCCAATGTGAGAGGCGCCTGAGCTCAGGTGGGTTTGCCTCTACGCTGTTTATCCTTTCCTCTTTGAAATGTGTCCTTTGCCCCTCTGTCACTGTTGATTGTGAGTCAGTTTTGAAAGTAAAGACTTTGACCTTGTTCAGTTCAATTCCTCTTCACCTCTCTCACCCGTCTCTTCTTCATTCCATTTTCTATTCCCTCTCTTTCCTATAGTAAGGGTCTAACTAATTGGGGACGCTTCAGAAAGTGTTCTCGGAAATATAGGAGGTACTTCTAGCATCTTCTCTGCCCTGGCCTCAGCCAAGTGTCCTATATGATCGACTGACTAATAGCATGAAGCAGAATAATTTAAACCCACCTTTCTCATAAAATCCCTTTGCTCCTTTCTATCATTTAAAAAAAAATAAAAATCTGGGATTGCTAACTCTGCCTGCTGCTTGCTGGATGCAAATCAGACTGCTTCTAATATGAAAATTAAAGGGGAATTACATAGAAATTAGATGTTTCTGGACATCACAGAATCTTGCTTTTCCTTTAAGATTTTGAAACACGTGTTTTTAATAACTGAAGTAAAATGTTCAACAAAATGGTTCAGTCAAATCTAAATTCCCCTTTATTTAAATGTTTTATCAAAATCCACACCTTCTGTAACTTACAGCTCTGTGTAAATTGCTTGAACTCAATAGATATATAAATTTTTTAGGAGCCAGAGTTTTTAAAGTGGTTTAATCTTGATCTCAAGCAATAGTTCTCCGGGCTTTTTGAAGGTCTTTCAAGGTGCTGCTTTTAAACTGCAAACGTTTTAAATCTAAGTAAGTAAAATTTTCTTAAAACAAGCTTTCTTTTTTTTATTGAGCCAGTAAGGGAGACATTCTGCCAATGGAACAAGACAATATACTGTACATTTAAAATGAAACACTACTGCAGTCTCTTGTTTCAAGTGCACACTGTCTAATTATCTTATTTTAAGGGTAAATACTCATTCCAATTGGCAGATCATATTGTTAAACTGCTCAAATTAATAGAAAATATATTTATTTTAAAGAGCCATTTCTCATTTTTAGATAATCTGAGCATTGTACCTGGTCATGCAGCAAAGGCTGCAAATTGCGCTAAAAAAAAAAAAAAAGTGGATAAATGGAAGACGGAAGTAGAAATCTTGAGCACTAAAAACTTCTGCATAAGACATTTTGTAACTGGCAATAATTTGTTGTTTGAGAGGGGAAAGCAAATAAACAGCAACCTGACCACAAACTGCATTTTTCCTGTTTGAAGATATGAGTCTTCATTCACACTGCAAAAAAGATCCATAAATAAGTCAACATTTGTTCAATTAAGTTTATTTACCCTTAATTTGAGTAGGTAAATAAGATTATTTGTCAATGGAATTAGTGTTTTTACTTTTTAAATAAGATAACTAGATAATATGCACTTGTAATAAGACAATGCAGTTGATTTTTTTCTTATTTTAAATGTAAATTATCTTGTTCCATTGGCAAAGTGTCTCAGTTACCTTCTCAATTTAAGAACAAATATACTTGTTTTAAGAAAAATTACTTATTTAGATTTAGATTTTTTCCAGTGTAGATGTTAAGTGATCAGAAAGCAGGGAGAAGATCAGTTAGGCTACTGTAGCTCTCAAAGTGTCTCTCAATCAGCTTTCATTTAATCACCATGGTTACCTGATGCTGTAGTGGCTGATGGGAGTCCTGTTAACATTTCAGAGTTTTATTCAGTTTTGAACCACAGCAGCCTACGTTTTGGAGAAAACCCAATAGTTGCCCAGAAGGAGGGTCTCTATCTCCAAAGGGTAACATTTTACAAGTTTGAACCCGATCATTCACCCACACAGTGTTGCGTGTCATATTTTATTGTCATGGGGGAGAGTGTTGTAGATGGGGGCAGGCAGATATGAACTGGAGATGAAAGAGACTGAATTAGACAGTTCATGCTGAGGCAGACCAGAACCAGTCTAAACCAGACCAGACTTGAAGTTACAGAGAGAATAAGCTTCAGCTTGAATCTGCAGTGAAGATCTGACGTACCTTGAAGCTTCAGAGGAATTAGATCTGGCAAAAAGCAGCACAGGATCAGATATGGCTTGATGCAGAGGTCTTGCTTAAACAAAAAGAACTGAAAGACTTTCAAAAAGTGGTCAAAGAAGACCCTCGTTTAGCAATACACTTGTAAGCAAGTAAAGAATTAAGGATGAACTAGATCATAAAAAAAAAACATTATTCTGAATTCTAAAGCCTTGTGGTCAAATTCATTATTTCTACAGAGCAACCACAGGTTGACATCAGCAGAAGTTCCCCTCTGGTTATTTTAATACAGCTTTTAACTTGTTGGGAATAATTCCTTTATCTGGTTAAGACAACAAAAACATTGAATGAAGCAATTCACAGAGCTGGAATCTGGTTCTCAAAAATAAAGATAAATCATGTGTAACATCCATTACTGTTAATCCATTTTGACTGCATGCTTCCTGCTTTGCTGCACCCTATCTTTTTCAGTTTTAGTCATTTGAGAGGAGAAGATCTTTTATTGAAAGAAATAAATCTCTCTGTGCAGAACTATTACCTCATTAAAACTCAGATAAGAGAGTGAAGTTGACAAGATTGAGTTGATTTTAAGGCATTCAGCATGTAGTAAGAAACTAACATACTCATCATGATATGAATGTCAAAAAAAAATAGTGTTTTTAGACATTTATTTAAACCTTTTTTTTTTTATTCCAGAGCTGTGTGTTTATTTAACAAACAATAATGTGTTAAATAGAAAGAATTGTGTGCAGAAGTTTACTTTATTAAGGATTTTCTCTCAGACGGATCCAAAATAATGTTTTCGGCATCCAAGCACTACAAATTATAACTCAATTCACCAAGTAAAATATCATTGATGTCAGAGGAGGTAATTGGAAAATCTAATTATATATCAGAAAAAGGCAACTGTATCACAAATAACATCTTGTTACAACCAAGGGAGAAAAAATACCACCTCCGAAATGTACATGGCAAACTTTTTACCTGCTGGGCTGCATCTGTCAGCTAAGATGAGGGATGTGAAGTGGCTGTTCACACAAACTCTTCCAGTTTGGACAGCAACAGGTTGCATGATCTTATCACCAGCAACACTTAGAAGTGTTGCATATAAAGTGACTTTAAAATATAAAATACAATATAGAATGACAAATCCTGTACTTTTTAAAGCCAGAGGTTTGATTGGCTAACATTCTGCATGGTTTGGGGCAACAGCTCACTGGCCAGGATAAAGTAAGTCATCTTACACGTACATATTTATGTAACATGGATGGATCAGTTAAAGGCTCGCACACAGTCTTTACTTATTAATGGCATGTTAGAGCTCCCTTGTAATCTTATATTGGAGCAAAGCTTAAATAAAGTCTGAATCCAAAATTATCCTGCTCTCTCTCCAGCTTGTACCATTAGAAAGGAGAGCCATGTTCCAATAATTTGTTCTGCCTTGTATAAAATAAAATTGTTAAACTTTAAGAATGAATGTGAGTTAATTATAATTTTTATGTTAAAAGCATGGATCCATTGTGCCTTGTTTTAAAGGATTAGGTTGTTAATTGTAGAATATCTTTGTTTTTATATTTCTTTGTTATATTTTGTGAGCCTTAGTACAAATTAAGCATTAGTAAGCACAACCGGGCATTGTTACAGGCCATGTTATCAGCATGTACTCATCTTATGATGGCTATTCCCAGAAGGATAATACAGCTTGTTACAAATCTCAAATAATGTTCAAATGATTTCCTGAGCATGAGATCATTGTACTTCGATGGCCTCCATGGGTGCCAGATCCTAACAGAGATAGATATCTCTATTATGATTTTGGGGGATTTGCCCTAATGGATGTGCAGCCAACAAATCTGCAGCAAATGTGGGATGCTTTGATTCCAATTTGTACTAAAATCTCAGAGAAAGATTTTGACAGCTTTTACAAACTTCGCTGTGAAGGTTTCAACCAGTTCTTAAGACAAACGGCAGTTCACCTGGAATTGTTGAACTGTAAAATTACACAGCCACTAGTGAATGTGTATAAAGTCCTCCTAAAATTTGGTTAAAAAAAACTTTCACAAGTTGGATCTCAGAGATGAAAATGTTTAAGTCATGAACAAGCATTTGACTGGAGCGGAACTGTCTTTTAAGCTTTTACCCACTTCACAGAGAGGGTTGAAATCAGAGCAACTTCTGAATCTTAATCTTTGACAGTTTGGTCAATTAAAATTATGTTTCAAACCACAACCTGCTAGAAAACCAAAAGTTTCAAATATCTAGCCATTGAGTTGAAGTAAGTTAGAAGTATTTCTTAAGTATTCAGAACTGTAATTTAGTAGAACTACTGGCAATAAAAAAAAAACCCTTAGCATAATGCTGCCACCACCATGCTTGATAGTTGTCAGGTACTATGGCACACAATTCTTTGTTGTAAACATTCGCAGCACAAAAAGGTTTTCTTCTAATTCCACTCTGAAACAAACAGCTAAAATGAATCATGACACCCTCCACATTGATTACGTGCATTTTTATGATGAGTGGTAATACTGGAACCACAGCTGCAGAAGATGTGATGGAAAGGTGCATATCTCTTTCTCTCTGGTCTGCTGCATTGCATGCTGGCCTCCATTCATTAGATGAAGTATGACTTTTTTTGCATTCACACGCTTCTGTTACTAAATATGTGAACCCAATGTGGGAAAAAAATATATTCTTTCTGCTTTTAATGTTGCTGATGCTGAGAGCTTTTTATTCTGTGTTGAAAGATTAATTGAGTGATGGAGACAAAGGCTGTACTAATGATTGAACATTAGCAGCTCTAGTATAATTCCAACACAACATGAATTACTAAGGTAGAAAAAAATGTGCCTGTGTAATTTGTCAAAACAGTCTGTGAAGGATTTAGATCTCATATTTTTCTTTTGGCAAAAAAAGCAGTAGGAAGACCCAAGATCTGAAGGGGAAAAAAAGATATAAAAGTAAATTATAGTGGAGTCTCACCAAGTTTCTCTCAATACTGGAGTCATTTGTTTAATATGGACTTAAAATGAATGTGGTGATGATCTATTAACGTTACCATGCTCTCATACCACCTTAAAAAATCTCATTAAGGCTTTTTTTTAGAAGAGTATAAATGAATACATTATCAGCCGACGTGAGATTGCTTTGCAGCATCTCAGGAACCAGCGATGAGGGGTTTTATTATTTTGGTGGCTTGGCGATCAGTCTGGCTCTGATTTAGTGTTTTGGGCATGTCAGTTGGATGGATGGGCTTTCGTCTAAAGGAAAAGATGAAAACTCTGCTCTGATTTTTTTCACTATCTGAGGGAAAATGATTGTTGACAGCATCCTTTCTTGTCTCACTTCTAGTTCTCTGTCACCTCCAGCTTGAACTCTCTCACTCTTCTTATCTCTATACCTCATTTCCTTACTTTTACTTAAAACCTTCCTTCCATCCATCAGCTTATCCCTCACTCTCTCTTTTTAATCCATCTCCTCAGTCAAAAACTGAGTTTCAAGGAGCGAGTCCGAATGGCAAGTCCTCGTGGTCAAAGCATGAAGAGTAGGCAGACATCCATCAATGATCGCCAGCGCTGTTCCCCTGGCAACGAGGTGGTGGGCAGTAATGAGCTGATGGGTGGGAGCCCAGCCAAAGTGCAGAAAAGCTGGAGCTTCAACGATCGGACACGTTTTAGGCCATCGCTGAGGCTGAAGAGTCAAAACCGCACAGCTGCTCCAGAGGGTGAGCATGGTGTCAAGTTATACTGACCTGGATTCTTTTTTGCACAACACCAACACCACAGTAGATGGTTTAATTTGTCACTAACATGCAAAATCATTCTGATTCATTCAAAAATTTGTAGCAGACTTTAGTTATTAAATTGTGAATACTTATTTAAGACAATGTTGATATCCTCATCAACAATTTTAATTCCAGCAATTCCTTCTACCATCCTAACATAAGTTATTTTAGGTTTCTTAGAACAGTTGAGATCACATCCCCTTTGAAAGCGCAGATGCTGTAAACTAGTGTTGTTATTGTTATTTTCATATAAACGCTATTTGGATTAAACATTTTACTTATATAAATTATAGCAATATTAGCATGTTTAGTCTTATTGGTATAAACATCAGTTTCTTTATTCAGTCACATGAGATTTTGGACTCTTTAACTGTATGATTACCAAAAGGTAGCCAATATTTCCATAACAAGCATTTTTTCCTCCACATGCTCCTGCAGAGAGCTCAGCAGGGTCAAAAATACAACATTACCACATTACTTTCAGCCATCCTGTTACCCTTAAAGGGCAACATTCATTAGAAATATGTACATAGTCCACGCTGGTATCAGCCAAAGTTTAGTGCTCTATTGGAGCAGCCTTTTAAAAACAGTTTCTTTCAGCTTTTAACAACTTTTTTTTTAATTTAATTTCAATTCTAAAAGCTTTGCTTAGAGTCCCCTTTCCTCAGTAACAGCTTCTACTCTGAAGAGTGTTGTGATCAGAACAAACTGGTCAAGCTTACATATGATTTATCTGCTAATTAAAATTTTGAGTTCATGAGTTTCCAAATAATAATTATCATTATCAGTCATTGCAAATGTAAATGAAAACTTGACCCATGCATTTAAGCCAAACCTCAGGGTGTTAGGGTCTCTTGGGGCGTGCATTTTTTCTGGTGTGAGTGAGCCTCCTGTCACAGACAGGATCTTTGCTCGTGGCAGGGCTGACCCATGTTGCTGCACCCCCGGGAACATTTCTCACTCAAGATGACTAGCATGTATTTAGCTGACTAACATTTTAGCTGATTGATAACTTCTTCCTGCTGTACACATACCTGAACCACTTTATGTCTCGGCTCTAGAAGCAAGTCCTCTGCATGTAATCACACACCAAACAGAACCAGTAAAACTTCTGGTGTCAGGCAATCACACTGAAGAACATTTTTTTTCCTTTTCTCTTCATCCTAATGTCTTATTGTTATAGGATGCTTCTGGCTCATGCTTCATAATCCTCACCTGAACTGGAAAGACAATAGATTTGAGTCATGGAGTAACCTCTGTCTGTTAAACTGTCTACAGTTGGCCATGTCTCCAGTCTTGAATTCTCAAGAACAGGAAACTGCAGGAAACCTCTCCCTGGTTCATCCTGGGTATGATGACCTTCATCTGGTTTTCAGCAAGTCTAAGGCTCTCTCTCTCCCTCCCTTCACGCCCATACAGTATGACTGTGCTATTGAGCTACTTGAAAACCTGTCCAATCCTTAGAAAGAGAGTGTGGAGAGGTACATAAATTTTCCCTAGCTGCAGGAATTATCCACACCGCACCTATTGGAGCAGGTTTTTCTTTTTCTGGAACAAGGTTGGATCACTAACAACTTACATTAATTACAGGGGCCTAAACCAGATTATTTTGAAAAAGAAGAGCCAATCCCTCTTCTGTCAGCAGCTTTTGAACCAATACATGGCTCGTAGTCATAAAAATGGCTTTTGAAGAAAGGCGCAACTGGTTGGAGGGAGCTGAACATCCTTGTACAGTGCGCACTGGCCTATCTCCGAGAAGCAACATTTCTGAAACCTACACAATTACTTTGGTCTCTGTTTTTTCCCTTGTTTTAAGTTCTTCATCTCTTACCATCCAGGCTAAAATAAAGGATTAAGTCCTGGGGGCGTACCGAACAGGAACCTGGAACTGGACGTCCGAACTGGGTTTATGTTCATGTTTTCCTTAGGTCCCACCTAATTCACTGGGCCCAAACAGCAAAATGATCCTGCCATCCTGGAATAAACACAGCTTTAGCACTTTTTAAATTAAATTTCTGGTGGTCTACAATATGTAAGGATGTTAAAAGTTAGCATATCCAATATGTGCCCACAACAAAACTAGTCACCACCATCCCAGCTGTCTTTTTCAACCATTGCCTACAACTAAACGTCCACTGTCTCATATTGCCTTGGATTTCGTTACTGGACTGGCACCATTTAGGGGTTTCACCGACATCCTCACTATAACCAAGCACTTCTCCAACTCCTGCAATCTCAACCCTCTTTGTTTACTCCCATGATCCCTTGAGACAGCTGAGCTTCTGAGTAAGCGTGGTTTTTGCCTTCACGGAATCTCTTGTGGAATCCTGTTGTACAGGGGTCTGGGATTCATCTCCCAGGTCTGGAAGAAATTTTGTACTTTTTTGGGGACAAGACTGCTCTCAATCTGCCCTTCTAACAGTCCCCCTCCATCCACTATTGGCATTGGCGAGCACCTAGCATTCACTGTGCAAAGGCTTTTGGATGCTTATCGCAGAGAAAGGGGTTTTCAGTATCTGGTCAATTGGGAGGGTTATGGACCTGAAGAACAACCTAGGTTCCCAAAAACTACAAACCAACACGAAACAGGGAATAGTGGGAAGCTTGGAGCACTAAGGAAAAAATATGGGACTAAGAGTCTTGCTCAGGGACTGAGAGAATGGAAGCAACCCACTCCAACTACCTGTATTAGGCCACTATTCCCCTAATGTCCTGCCACCAGTTAGTGAGAGGTTAAGATGGAAATTTATCAATCCAAGTTACCGCTCAAAACCGTTCAATCTCCTGCAGGATGTTTCTGCAAAAGTATTTAAAGTTTTTTTTATTTAGAAGTTGGCAGTTTGTCTTTAAGTTTTTTGCCCAAAAAAAAAAAAAAAAATGTTCATGATAGATTCTGAACTAAATTAACTCTTTACGTAAATCTTAGTACCGTGTGCATTAAAGCAGATAGGGATATATAAGTTAGTGCGCATCAGTGACTCATACGGTGTGGAGAAATCACATGTCCACATTTATCATTGCTAAAAAAAAAAATTACTTTTCTTTCTGTTTCTGATATATAACGATTCCTAAAGCAGCCTTAAGATCTCCAAGATGCTTCATGTTTGGTTTTAACTCCTATTCATTCTAAAGACAATTAGATTGTCTTTAGATTGGCTGCTCAATGATTCCAGCCAATGTTCACAATCAAATCAGCGTTTCAGAGGTACATACTTATCACATACAGAGTTACAATAAATCAGATGCTAAGGTGCTTTATGCTTGTTTAAACAAAAGTGCATCCTGACCTGCATCTTAACTGGAAATAGAAGATTTGCATGTTGTTGTTGTTTCAAACAATTTATTCAATGAGACTAACAAGCTATCCTGAGCTACTGAGTGCAAAGCATAACAAAGGTTTGTCTTTCCCAATGGGAAACTTTGACTAAATATTATTAGAATTGGTCAAATGAAAGACAAAACTAATAATACTGAATCGTCAACATATCTCTTCATTATGGTTGCATAAAACCTGACATAGAAAAAAGATTTCAAGCCTTGTTTTAAGATTGTTTAGTTTTGTTTGGTCGTGTTGTGTCCATTTTAGCAGAGCTTATTTACATTTAGAGTTCACAATACATGCACACAGACATAACCAACAATTTCGACTTTTTCGGTTTTTTATTTGATTTTGTTTTCTGTTTGTGTTTTGTTTATCTGTCTAGATGAGTCAACATACTTTTGTCAAAGATAAATGATTTTTTTTCTTTTTTTTTTTGCTAAACCTGATTTCTGTTCACATTGCAGTCTAGACATAGTTCTTAGAATACTGAAAGTCATAATGGGGTATTTTTCCTTACAGTTTACTGTGTCTCCTTAACGATTTGATAGCAAAAGTGTTTTCTTCTTGATTCTTGTTACATCATTACCCCCTCCTACTTTGCTTGATTTTGTGTAAACCTTTCTCAACATGTCTTCCAATTTAAAAAATGTAGATAGATAGATAGATAGATAGATAGATAGATAGATAGATAGATAGATAGATAGATAGATAGACAGACAGACAGACAGACAGACAGACAGACAGACAGACAGACAGACAGACAGACAGACAGATAGAAAAAAAGACAGACATGCAGACAGACAGACAGACAGACAGACAGACAGACAGACAGACAGACCTTACATAGTCCAGTTGGCAAAATCTTTCTCATTCCTCATGTTCCCATCCAGGCAGAACATAAATTTTCACCTCCCTTAAGCCAAATAGTATCAGCTTTAAAAAATAATATTGACGTCTCCTGTAGAGACTCACACTGAAAAATATGTTTGATGAGTTTAAAGGCTGGAAATAATTTGCTACGGCCCTCCATTGATGATGAATCAGTGCTCCTGTCTTTCAGTAGACACAGGCATGACCACAGATGATTCCTTTGATGAGAAAGGTTGCCATTGTGACGTAACTATTGAGGATCTTTCCGCTCCCTTGAAGGTTGTCATCAGAGCTGTCAGGTAAGCATAGATACGTACAAAAGTATGCTTAAATTAGGCTGTTGGACAATATCACTTCTGGTCCAGCTGTAAACAAATAACATTAATTTTGTTTGCATAAAAAACACTGATCCTTCAATTTAGATTTAGTTAGTGACATTCCAGTTTTAGTATTTGAATTTAAATATTTTTCTTTTTTTTCTGTTTCACCACACCTTCTTTTAAACCTTTAAGTTGGTTTCTTGATGTCTTTGTAAAGAACTATAAACCATACAGATATCCTGGTCCAGTTCCAGTTTATCGTTTGGGGTCCTGTCCAGGATTGTGTCAGCCACTCCCTTAATGAGACACTGGTAATAACCTGTGGAGCTTTAATTAGTCTGGGTTATTGACAGTACAAATGCTAGCTTATTTTAAAAGAGATAGTTTGTTTAATCCCAACCATCTTTAAGCAACACATCAAAAGTGAGAAGTGTTGAATTAGCCCAACTCCTCTACTGATCATTATATAAAAAAAAAAAAGGCAAGTTAAAATATCCTTTACAAGATGTGTTCCTTACAAAGAAACATCCCCATTTTTTTGGTCTGGCAGAGAGAGCAGCCTGAGAAGAAGTTATTAGTGTGGCTTTAAAAAGCAACATTACTAAAGTCATTTGATTCTAACCTTCTTTGCTTTGAGAAATGAATCCACAGATGCACAAACTGCACCTCTATCTTCTGACTTCTACTCAGCATGCCCCCTCCATAGGTTGCCAGAACCCAGCTCTTTCCCAGGGTTTCAGGTTGAGGACTGGAAATCCCATCCCCGTTAGGTCTATTATTGCAGCGGGTCATTTATCTCGGGGTGTTTCCATTAAAACTGTGAACCAAACAGACAACTGGAATCAAGCAGAAACCAACCGGGAATTGACATCAGCAAAGAACATAGATTTTCTTCCCTCCATCAATATTGTTAACTTATCAGTGCCTACGTTTAACAAATAGATGGAAGTAGATTTTATGTGTGAATGTTTTGTGAATGAGACATTTATTTTTTTTCTACAATCATTTTCTTTTTACATTTTGTAAATAAAATGTAAAATGTTTTTTGTCTCTTTTTAGTCCTTCAAAGTAATTGATGGAAAAGGGCAAACTGGTTTCTTGTTTTCCACCATCAAAGTGCAAATAAAAACATGAAAATATGCTTTTATTCACATTTTTATGGCTTATCTTTAGTGATGAGCTCTAACAATTTAAGCTTAGAAGGGCCATCCCCCTAATTATTAGCTGCCTTGTACACATGTTTTAGATTGAAGAAGGGAATCTGTCATGGTAATTTCCAAACATTAAGATTAATCCCAATTGAAGAAAAATGTTAGTAAAATTGATGCTTTAAAGCCGCATGTTACAAAGCTATGACCACATTAGGGCTTACCTATGTTTTTAATCTAATAAAATAAGGGAAGAAAATGATCCCCAAATTATGGTTTCAAGCTGTTACAGTACCGCCATCTACTGGTTTGTTTTAGCAGTTGCAATCATTTATATTATTATTTAATTATATTGCCTCATGTATTTCCCATGTACACTGTTCATCTGTGTTCTTAAAGAATTTGTGTTCATGGGTCTAATTTAAACATGATTTTATGTGTTCTCTGTATTTGTTAAGGATCATGAAATTTCATGTTGCTAAGAAGAAGTTTAAGGAGACTCTGCGTCCATATGATGTGAAGGATGTTATTGAGCAGTATTCTGCTGGACACCTGGACATGCTCTGCCGCATCAAGAGCCTTCAGACAAGGTCAGGACACTCTGGAAAAAACACTAGAATACACACTTTCTCCACACTTTGGGGTTTTCGTTTCATTTAATTGTTATATTCTTATATAATGAATACTATTTTTGCTCAACTTTGACTTTTTAAATTATATTTTTTCTCACTCTACTTATGTATTTAAAAATCATATCCTTTACAGAAAGGGTATGATGTCATTCTAGACATTTTGAAAATTCAGGATATTTTTTCCTCTGGAGAAAATCCCACTTAAAGACAGCTTGAGTCTGTTTTTTTTCATGGGTACAACATTTATTAAATCTTGCATTACTACAAATATGTAGCATAATCCCCTTTTGGTGATCAGAGAGCTTTTAAAGCCTTAAAGATTCGAGTATTCAGGTGGCAGTTTTAGTGCAACCATACATTTTGGATTATTTTATTTATTTTTTGAAAGACCGATCAATGGGATACTGACATTTTTCTGAAACAAATTACCTTGTTCACTAGTATTGCATTATAAACTGTTTTTGCTGCCTAACCTCTTTTTAATAAATTACTTATTTAATTTGAACAAAGAAAGTACAAAATAACATAAACATAGGCATTTATTTTATACCCATATAAACTAAACTAGTAAGTTAATGGAACTCCGACCACTAGATGGCACCCAAGTATTTTCAGTATGCCAACGTCACTTTGGCTATGTGGTGCAGAAAGGTCCCATCAAGTGAGAATGTCCTGGTATTTTCAAATGTTTATGAAGCTCTGCACCTTTTTTCCAGGTTTTCAGGGCCTTTGAAGGAGAAACAGGCCCACAGCATCATAGAACCTCCATTGTACATAGAGGATACAAATGTGGAAGAGCTTCATCTTAGTGCCATTTGGGTTAAGGGGGCAATTAAAGATTATGTAGCATTTAAGAAGCATCTTAAATTTTTCCTTGTAGTACATTTGAAAAGGAATCTTCATGGTTTCCCTCCAAAACTACCAGTTGGCCTTTGGATCGATGTCTTCACCAGCAATCCTTACAGTTTTCAAGAGCAATGTATGCTCTATTTATACATTTTAGTATATTATTAACAAAAAACCTACTGATAATGCTTCATCAGCTGTTCACTAACCTGTTATCTCTTTTCATGGGTGTATTGCAAATTAAATCGCTTTATTACAGCAAGAAATCTTTTCTCACCAAACCTACCTAATCAGAGTGTTTCTATTTCTCTATCTCCATGTCAAGTGTCTTTTCTTTCTCCCAGACTGGATTCAGTAGTGGGCCCCCCTCCAAGGCCATTAAGAGGCCGTGTCAAGACGTTTTCTTCTCCCTCTCTGCATTTAAGTTACAGCCAGACCCGGAGGAAACAGTCAGCTGCTGGGTTAGAGTTCCTCTGCCCTGATCGTTTATGCAATGGCTTCCTTCTTAACATGGCCGCATGTATCTTGGGTCAAACAACACTTATTAGAATAAAGTAGGTTTTGTTTTAACCTGCCACCATACTTGCTGAAAGGAATTCAATTTCCTCTGTGACATGTGAAGAAATGTCTGCAGATAAAGTGCAGGTTGACCCAGATTTGGCAAGATTGTTCTTATTTCTGCAGATTTTTTATTTATGGATTTCATTTATCTATCGGTGGACATTTTTTGGAAATTCTAATTGTATAGCTACTGATATGACAAATAAAATAAGTATAACTTTTATCAGAGAGGCGCGACTTTTTATGGAGTGACGTTTATCAGAGGGCAGTGATCAGTAGGGATGGGCAATTATTGTATAATTTTTTTCTCACAATGGTGAAAGCAAATAAAGTAGAAATTATTCTTTCTGTTGTGACAAAAATAGACTAAAATTGTTTGCAACCCAAAATCTGCTGTTAGATAGAGGTTACTTTTGCTATTGGAAAGATTTCTTCCACTGATGGATATCTGTTGTTGGAACTAAAGATTTGGGTCATTTTTTTATTAGTTAACATTATTTTTGCTAGTGCTTAGATTTTCTTTTATTTGTCCTAGTATTTTTTTTCTTCTGTTTTTTTCACTCCTGGGTTAATTTACAGGTGCAGGATTTAAAATATTCAGAGTATTGTTTTCATAAAGTTATTTATATATGTAAAACAGCAAACTTAAACTGACTCGTAAAAAAAAAAAAAATCACAGAGGGTGCTTGGATTTAGATTTAGGATTTATAAGTTAGTTTTAGTACAGTTTTAGTTATAGTTTTACCCTTTTTAGTTGCAGATTTTTAAAATTCCAATTAACAAAATTGTTTCCCTAATTTCAGTTTTTGTTTTGCGGTTAGATTCAGCAAACTATAATAAAGATGCTGGAGTCAATGCAAAAATCTGGCAATCAACTATGTTAAAAGTTTCATTGCTGTAATGTCTTTAAAGGTTTTTTCATTAATTATTAGGAAGAGATTGACATAAAATTCTAAAGTAAATAGAAACTGGATTTTTTTTGTAATTAACACTCTTTTTGATTTAGTTTAATGTTTATTGGCTGATGTCCATCCTTCTGTCATGTTCTCTCAGTAACCAGCTTTATAGTCAAATAAGTCATGTTATATTGGACTTGATAGGAACTGTTGGCTTTTTGACACTGGCCCTGATTTTAAGCATTTGTTTTTGTGGGGCTCAGACTTTTTGTATGATTTTCCTGATCCTTCAATTTGCTCTAAAGCACTCGGTCCTAAAATAAACTGACCCAGCCTTTAGCCACAAAGAAAAAGTGTTAGTACAATTAAAATAATTTTTCTCAGTGCAGTTAAAAGATTACGATGAAACACTGGTTTATATTGCCCACCCCTACTGCTTAGACTGAACAAGTTCAAATGATAAACTCTTAAGTTTTCTATTTTCTTTTATTTATTTTTTTTGCCTGTTCATTTGTTACTTAAAGAAATCAAGGGTGTGCTCTGTTTCTGTGTTCTTGTTCGCAAAAAAGAACATGTCCTATACATATGAGATTTTCAAAAACGGTCTGTTTTTGGCAGCATTTTTCATAGCACCTTGAACTTAAACCTTTGCTCTTCTGATCTTCTAATGTAAAAGTCTGTTTTTGTTTGAATTTTGGCCTGCACGGTGGATTAGTTTGTAGCACTGTTGCCTCTGTTATGCCTCAGTATGACTCTGGGTTTGATTCCCAGCCCGGGGTGATTCTGCAAAAAGTTTGCATGTTCTCCCTGTGCATGCGTGGGTTCTCTCTGGGTACTCCAGCCTCCTCCTACAGTCCAACATTACGACTGTTAGTTTAATTGACTTCTCTAAATTGTTCTGAAGTGTGAGTGTGGGTGTGTGCATGTCTCTCTGTGTTGCCCTGTGACACACTGATGACTAGTCCAGAGTGTACCCCGCCTCTCGCCTGCAGACTGCTTGAGATATGCAAGGCCCCACTGTGACCTTTATGGTATAAGTAGGAGAAGATGGATGGCTGTTTCAAATTTAAATTACTAGATGGCGAGCTATCTTATTGTCAAAAGGGACCTCAGTGATTGATGCCTGTTATGCAGTGGGGTTTTCACTAGCTTATGGTTTATGCCTTAATGTTTTACACTTAATGAAAATAGGTCTACTGGGAAGTCAAGTCCTCATTTGGACTCCTCAGAAACATCATACTGCATGTTTAAAGTATTAGTGTCCAGCAGTGAAAATTGTTCAATTCAAGGCAGGAAACCAGGACAGGTGTTTTTATAGATTAATGTAGCAGCTAATTTAGAGCTTCAACTGAAAATATATCTTAATTTAAATATTTAGATGCTGCGCTAAGTAAAATCGGTGCAGAGAAAACATTTCTAACCAAATGAAGTCAGAGCTGATGCAAACACATGCTAATGTGCTGGGATGTTAAGGACACTGTAATCTGGTCCTGATATCTGCAATCAAAAGGGTTTGTCTTTTTAAGCTTGCTTGTTTTTTTGTTAGTTTTTTTTTTTTGGTTGCACAGTAACTAGTTTAATGTTTTTTGTAATGTCTACACCCAGCACCTATCCCTTTTTTTATTTACTCGTATTGGTAGTTTCAGTTTCATTTAAGCTTCCCGTGAAAAGGACAAAAGAGTGTTGTGTGTTCATGAAAACTCTGCTTAAGTTTTCATATGACAGCTGAAGTAGAAACAGATCGCTCTCTTTCCAGTAAGCCCAGTTTTTTCTGGTTTGCCCACTTCAGGGAGTTGATGATGCAAAGCCTATCCTTGACAACTTCTGCGCAAATGTGCAATCAGAAAACTTAATTTTTAATGGAAACTTGAACCTTAAATACATTTTTTCTGCATATAGAGACATGTACAACATGCTTTTCTCATGGTCTGTTGTTAAACTACACTAGACTTGTTTGTTGAAGGTCAGTAAGGTATCTTATTTCTGTTTGCAAAAGGCCAAACAGACAAACAGTGACTGTTTTTTTATTTTTTTATTACTTTATTTTTTTATTAAAGGGTTAGGGGAAGCCCTACACCTACACCTAGTTTAATTCTTTTTAAAGTAGCCACAATGGCATGTAGATATAATTATGGTAGGTTGTTAAATTAGCAGTCTCTGTTAGCATTGGTGCAAAAAAAATTTGTGATAGTCCTTTTTTTTTTACTGTTGTTAGTAATGTATGTATGTATATGTGTCACTGGAGCACATGTTTCGTTACAGCCATAAGAAAAATGTCTGTTGGGCCTGGATGGTAATATTTTCTATTCACCAGATGGATTTTTTCTATAAAGATAATGTCCTGGATGGGGTTGGTCATCCCTCATCTTTGTGGCCCCTTCAGAGAAGACAATTAGAGTAGATCTCCTTTGAAGGGAATCCAACAAAATAGTTTTAGTACCAACACGGCTAAAAGGTTGGTCTGAAAAAGCCATTCCAACACCAAAGGCATCATGATGGTTGGAGGTTTTGATGCAAGAGGGACTGATCTGAACGGGATCCCTTAAATAGGTGGAAAAAGTGAAGCATGATTCGGGGATATTAGCTTAAAATGATAAACATGGGCAAAAATCGGTTTTTGAAAGAAAAATGGCAAATTAGATATAACGGCTAAATACCAAGAAAGTCAGTGTTTTGGAGTGACCATAACACCAATCTAAGGCAAAGACAAGTCTGAGCGAACGGTTCTGTCAGGAGGAATGGGCTAAAATTCCTGCAAACTCATGTTAGTCAAAAAAAATAAATACATTTACTAAGAAACTGTACAATGGTCTCCTACAGTAAAAGAGTCTTTTATCATTCTGGCATTTAGAAAATAATTTATGTAATCCTAACTAACCTGAAATGGAGGTGGTTTAGTCTGATCTAATGTCAGACAGTGAAGAAAAAATAATTGTAAAGTATTTCACAAAATGGATGAAAATAGCTTATTTACAGAAATTTAGATCACATTAAACTTTCAGTCTGCTGTGCCTCTGTGGGACAGAATGTGAAGATCACAGAGTAAGAAGTCTTTAAATTTATGCTTCAGCTTTGATTGACACAAATGACATTTTCAGAGCTTGAACGTGTCCCGAAAAGAACAATAGATTTATGGCTCAATTTTTCCTTTTTTTTTTGCCATTTGGAGAAATAACTTTGCCAATATCTGTCTGTGAAATGGGAAAAAAGATTCAGTCTTGAGATTCATTTTTTGATAATGCTTAAATACCTGACATGCATATATAAACTTAATATCTAAAGAAATGCATACAAATTGCACTTTATCTTTTAGGTGATGCCTGAATCCATCTACCATACTTTATATTTTTAAGGTTCAGTTTTCCCAGTTATTGTTGCCAAATCAGGATAATTTATGTTATATGTCTTTGCTATTCATCCAAAGGACAAGAAAATTCTGAGATATTGGGTGTGAACCGCTCGATGTGCACATTAACCTCACTAACTAAATAACTGCAGCAGTAAAGCCTTCCCTGAATTTATTTATTGCTTAAGGATTTATTTTGAAAACCTTGTAACTGTGTTAAGCTCCTGAAACAACACAGTGCATCAAAATTTAAAATCCTTGAAAAAAAATACAATTTTATTTAACTTTTTATAATTGTGTCATGTTTGAGAAGAAAATAAAAAAATATTTTATTTTTTTTGGGGGGGGGGGTTGTTATGAATATGTTAAAGAGCAACACATAGTAGATTGTACTTGTGAGAATTAAGGAAATTCTACATAGATTTCAGAACTTTTAACTCGAATTATAACTGCAGATATTGTTTGAGTGGGTAACTATCACTTTGATAAAAGTAGGCTCTGAATTGTTATTCTTTCTCCCAAAATAGCTTGCAGTAAGTCATATTAGTTGGAGGACATATAGAAAAAAAACCCATCAATAATCAACTGATTTTGATTTGTAATTAGATCTTACATCATCTCAGTTTTAATCTCACTGTTGTCTCTGATGGGTTGCTGTTTGGGATTGTTCTAGATTTAGGATTAAGTTTGGGATTGTTCTGGATTTAGGTCCATCTTTCTTTCCTTGAGCTTTGAACAGCTTGTCAGACAAAACCTTTTCCGCACTGTGATACTGCCACCACTTCATTTTTAATTAATGATGGCATGTTTGAGGCCATGTGCATTGTTAGTTCTGAAGCTGTCACAGCAGCCATATCGATTTTATGATTGATATGTTCACTGGTGGACCATATAATAATTACTTGTATCAGATAAAATGGAATAAAAACAAATGCATCCGACATTGTTCAGGTTTATATTTGAAGACCAAACATTGGGGTAATTTTTATTTTCTCTGGCACAATAACTCTCCATAAATTTAATTGTAATTTCCCTCAGGGATTATTAAAGTATGTCTGATTCTGATTCTGAAAATGGTTTACAGTTTATACATGACCAAGGGCTGGGAACACATTCTGTGCTTTGTCTTGCAAATTGTCTGACATGTGCTGCAACCCTTTGATGGCTAACTCAGACTTACTCCTACATGACCTGATGTTTTAGATCATATCATTTAATAAAGATTAGAGCCTTATCATCTGTCATGTTTGTGTGTCTACTAGGGTGGATCAGATTCTGGGAAAAGGGCAGATTGCTGTGGATAAGAAACCAAGAGACAAACTGCACCACGATGGAGACTCTTTGGAGGGCATGAGTATGCTTGGACGCGTGTGTAAAGTAGAACGACAGGTGTGTTTTTACAAAGAGAATACAAAATACATTTTTTTGAAACAATTTGATCTACTTTCAAATCTTAAGACACAGAAGAAAAGCACAAAAAATGCTTGATTATATGCATACTGCACAAAAAAGGCTCAAAGTTAATTCAAACAGGCTGTTCAGACATTTTAATCCTGATAGAATTACCTTAAATGTCAGAAGAGGAAACTAGTAAAAAGCTTGGCCGTTTTAATTTTTAAATTTTTTTTTTTTAGATAGATCCATAAGTAATTATTTGAAATATGTGCACTTGTCCCTCATTTTCACTAGTAAATAACACTCTGTGCCAATGGGATGAGTTTTTTTGGCCACCATGGGACCTTTGGCGTCCTGTTACTTGGAATAATATCATTCCCATCATTCTAAACTGCTTAACACACCCAGATGTTTTTTTTAAGGCTAGTTGAGTTTAAACATTGTTTCCAAATAGTTTTAGACAATTTTTTTTTTGTCTCATGCCCCATTTTCAAGCTGTACTAGCAAACTGCAGTGAGTCATTTTTTTCCCATCAGAGTAAAGACGGTGTATTACTAAATGTAAGGAGGTGAACTGTTTCAGCCTGGTGACTTGGTTTGCATTTACTGTAATCTCAGACCTGTTATTCAGGAAAAACTTGTCCTTGAGAGGTGATTAGTTTTGTTATTACATGAAGATTTTTGAAAGTGACATGCTTAACATTCTTTACTTATATGTTCACTGCATAATGTTATTGTTTTCTTGCATTAAGGTTTCCTCTATCGAAACCAAGTTGGATTCTTTGCTTGACGTTTACCGCCAAGTTCTACAGAAAGGTCCCTCAGGGCTCTCCCTCTCCTCTCTGCCTCTGTTTGAGCTGGATAATCACCAGCACCACAACCTAGACTACCCATCCTCCCCCCAGAGGGGCGATAACGTTAGAGTTCGAGGAGACAATGGAGGCGGCGGGATACACCGTTCACATAGCGCCAACCCAAGAGGCTTGCGGCTCATCCTGCCACCCGCTGACGATGACGGCCCTCCGGACTCTGCGCCTCCATCTTACCCACCCTCCACCGCCTCTCTGTCCCCTTCCCCTCTGCTACCCCCAGACAGCCCTTACCCAACCCTCAACACCCCTTCCAAAAAGCCCCACTTTCCAGATCTACCACCTCCACCATCATCAAGTGGGAGTTTTACCCTCCAGCTTCCCCCTGTGGTACGCCCATCAAACCTCCGATGCCCCGCCGACCCAGTCTCAGATCATTTGAGAGATGAAGTAGGAGCAGATGAGCAAAGTCTGGGCCCTACTGTTGTTGTAGGATGTAGTGCTGAGGATGATGCTGATGGGGGCAGGGAGGCAGAGTTTGCTCCAGGTAAGGTGCAGCTGCGCAAGAAGTCCGGCCTGAAATCCGAAGGAGTCTGGAGAAGGCATTTGAGCCTTGAGGTTAACCCCTGGCTGCTGCTCTCATCTAACTCAGAAAGGAGGTCTGCAGACTGGGCCGGCAGTCTAGGGAAATCCCTCTCTGCGCAAAATATCAACCAGCCTTTAACCAAACGTGCCCCCGGCCTCTCCTCCGCACTCAACAACAGCAGCAGTAGCAGCAACGACAGCGAGCGCGGGAACGGCCATAGCGACCTCAGCAACTGGGACGGAACAGAGCTCTTCATTAGTGAGCGTAAGCCGACAGCTTATAACTTTCTGTCCCAAGGACCGGACAGCAGCCAGTCTGACATTTTACAAACAGAAGAGGAGGATGTACCTCTTTCAAAGGGAAACTCTGAGTTCCTCAGTCAATCTTCACACTTACAGCTGGTGTGAGCACAAACCGCAAACTGTATGTATACACAATTCTGTGGCCAACGCCACTTTTAAAGGTATTTATATAGGGCACCATGCAGATGCTCTGAATTTTAGAATTTATACATCTACAAACAATGTTTTTTTTTTTTAGACCTTGTGTTACATGATTATGATCATTTACATACCAGTTATATCCACCAACACCCTTTTATGTGGCACCTAAATGTTTGCATCCAGTAGGATAAAAGAATGTGCGACTGTGAATGCCAACAGCTGTGTTTATGTTACACACATACACACAGATAAGTTATTTTTTGTTAAAATAAGTGCACTTGTTCTTGGATTGAGGAGGTAAAAAAGACATTTTACCAATGGAAAAAGACAATTAATACTTAAAATAAGAAAAAATAATTGCATTGTCTTACTTCAAGTGCATATTATCTAATTATCTTATTTTAAGAGTTAAACTACTCGTTCCATTGGTAATCTATCTCATTTACATCCTTAAATTAAGGGTAAATACAATTAATTTAAGAAATTTTTACTTATTTCTAGATTGTTTTTCCAGTGCAAAAAAGGACAAAAATTATATTCAGCACCTTGCAAAATTATAGACACTCCTTGGACCTGTATGTGTCTGTTTCAAATGCTTGTCAACCAAATGTTAATATCAGACATAGAGTAAATTCAAAAAGTCACATTTAGATTTCATAAGGTAAAAAATAGCTATCCTTTATGAAAGTTTAACTTAAACCAGCACTGCTTGTTCTGACCCAAAAGCAACTTCCATTGAGCATCTGTATCAATAATTTTTGCTGTGAAAGACTTCAGTTTGTTTTGTTTTTCCCGAAATATTTTTATTCAGCCACATTTGAGAGTTCAATGTTTAAGCTCACTGTAAGGCTTTTTAGTTGGATTTAAGTCCAGAGATTCTTTTTGTTTTGTCGTTTCATTCGGAAATCAACTTCCTGGTGTGCTTTGAATCACCAATCTTGGAGCTTTTCTGTTGCTTAATTTGGTGATGCTTAAGCAAACAAACCAAGAGCCGGACAATTCAAGTCCCAGAGCACCAGCCTACCACTACCATGTTCAACTGTCTGTAAGATGTTCTTTTTTTTTAACAGTCTGTTTTGTTATTGGTTCTTTTGGGACCTCCTAGATGAGCTGTTGATTCACTCTTTGAGTGAAATCAATAAACTAAGCCCTCCTGAGAAGGTTCACTGCTCTTACCATCATTTAATGGATTTTATTATTGTTCACTAGAGTCCCAGAGTCTTACAGTAGAAGTTGTTTTGTAACCCTTTCCAATCTGGTAGGTTTCACGTCTATTCTTACAATTCTATAGATGGGGACCTAAAGTGTTACTCTTTGAATACTCTAAACATATTTCATCCAGTCAAACAGGTTCTATGTCAGTTATTTCTGTAGGTCAAGGAGCAATCAGCTCTGGTGGTTTGGATTTTTTCCACAAAAAACTTGATTAACCACACGGCTTATTTGGCTGGAATAGCTTTTCTCACATATTCATTGAAGTCATGCTTTTGTATTTACTCTTAGAATCTTTGTCTGACATGATTTTTTTGTTCAATTTGAAACATTTTTATGGTGGTAAAAAAAAATCTATTAAAAGAGGAAGCAGCCTTATCCTCTGACCATCTTCCACACCTCTGCTGGGGAAAATAATCTCTGCAATAATCTGGCACAATTAGTTCGTCAGAGCATGTCAGAAACTTCTTAATTTCATCATCATGTAAATTTTCAGTAAAATGCATTGATGTTTATGGTTATTGTGTGAAAAAAAACTGTGAAAGAGTTAAAGGGATGTGAATACTTATGCAAGGCACCTGACCTAGGAATCTTTCAGAAGAAAATGCACCCCCCCCCCCCCCCCTTTTTTTCTATCATAATCTTACAAAATAAGGATTTCAGTTTTGAAAAAAATCTGCTTCTCTTGAGGTGAGAAAAATGACAGTATAGATGATGTAAGTAAATTATGTGGCTCTTCACGTGTGAATATTTAACTTTTCTATTAATCAATCTGGACCTCAACTTAAACAAAAATGCATGATTTTTTTCAGTTGAAGGAGAGAAAAAGAGACAACTTAAATATAAAAATAAATTTAAAAAACTGGGTCTGCTTGAGAAAATGTTCACCCTTAAAACTAGTGATGAACAGATACAAGTATAACCAGTAATCACGAGCACTAAATGTGGTAGATGAGCCAACTAGAACAAAAACTCAGACTCACTTTGTTTTGTATAATTGATCAGTTTGATCATTTTTCTTTAGGAGAAGACAAACCATGTTCTTTTCATTGATTGTTTGTCTTTAGTATTAAATCTCTTAATTTCTTTCCGTACACATATCACTTCCTTTAACACACGTTATCAGAAATATACCCTGAGATGCATTAATTATATAATAGTGAGACGATATTCTACAACTGCTTCAAGTCCCAATGACCTCCTCCTGTGTTTGCATCTGGTGAATCATGTGCTTATAATTTTGATGCTGATTTAGCAAAGACCTCCACAATCTTGCATGAGAAGCTGCATGTTTGCAGCTATTAATATTAGTCAAAGACACAGTTACAAGATACAGTATGTTTCTGCACAGTTAAGTGTTTCCCCAAAGCCTTAAAGCTAAACATACAAACTCATTTTTTCCTGTTTGAGCATTTTTTTTTTTGTTCTAATTTGGAATATTTTGACACTGTATAATTTTATTGACAGCTTACTACATCAACACAAGTGCATACAACACATCACTGGGATCTGTGTTTCTTTTTCCTGCCAAAGACAGAGTAAAAAGCTGCTGTGCTGATGAAAGCTTCAGTTTAAACAACAAGTGAAGGAGGTGTGTTGTTGGGAAGAATGTGCTGTTTTTAATGCTACATGCATATTTTGTGTTTACTCTCTACCCTAATTTTATATTTTTTAATTGCAAGCGTTCAACAGTAAAATTGTATGCAGACGTCGAACTGAAAAATGTAAGAAAATTTTCAAAAATAAGCTGATGTCCTTTAAGATTAACTGTATAAATATGGAAAAAATAGGGAATTGAAAAACTGTTAAAGTGAAATTACTGTAGGTTCACTTGCAGGCTTTAAAAAAAATATTTAATGTATTTTTTCTCTTCAAATCTGTTTCTTAAGTGATCCACAAAAGATTTCAGCCATTTTTGTTTCTTCTACATTTTATTTTTTATTTTAATTCATTTTGTCACACTTAAAATATACGTTTCCATCAATTATTTCCTTCATTGATATTGTGATTTTCTTTTTCTGCTTTAGTCCCTGTTCAGAAAGCAGATTGCTAATAATTTAACACTGAGAGTTATAGCAAGTATTATTTTCAGAAAAATGCTAACAGTTAACATTTATGTGATTTTCTTCAATATGCTTTCATCCATAAAATAACTTGTTGTGGCAAAAAAAGAGAGAGAAAGAAATACATTTTCATATTAAACAGCACAGTTTCTAGTGAATAGATGGGCCTGGTGATGTGATATTTGATGTTCGTAGCTGCATGATTTTGGAACTGATTTGTTGCTTTAAAAATGTGGCTGCATATGGAAAACCCTACAGGCCAAAGGAATTATGGATGAAAGAAAATAATGAGGCTGTACTTCCCATGACAACATGTTATATTTTGCAGTCTGTAATTATTTAAAGGTGCCTTTTCTGCTCATAGATTGCGTTTATTTCCACTCACTGCCTACAACATATTATATTTGATTGTACTGAAATCCAACTGCTCATTTTGGACTGGACATCCAGTTCCATTAAGCCATCTGGCTTTAAGACTTTACGACTTCAATGGCCAAAAATTCTTAAAAACTGATCTACGGCTTGAACAGTAATTTATTACACAGCTGGCCTTAAAGCTTGATAATGTTAACATTATTATTTCTTTGAAATTAATTTATTAAAGCGCACATTATATTCTCTGGATGAGAAATGCAAAAATGATTTTATTATTCATTAATAAAGTATGGATTAACAAAACGATTTGTTTCATGGAGTTTTCTACTGTACATGGTTATAAATTTTGTTTTTTTATTATTATTTTTTATATATATATATATATATATATATATATATGACAACTGAAGTCTTTTTTTTTAAAGCATGATTATTATAGAGGGTTATTGCACAGGGTATTTACATGGGTATTAATATAGATGGGTATTTATCTATATAGCTAATGCACTAGGTATCAAACATAAAGAAACAGGTTATTGCACAGGGTATTAAATAGTAAATTGCGCATTATACATTGCATAAGTTATTACCACTGTAGTGTCACATTGTTTAATCTTGTGGCAGCAGGGATTAATGACCTGTGGTAGCGCTCCTTTTTGCAAACAGGATGTAAAAATCTTTCATTATAGGAGCCGCTAAGTTCCTCTACAGTCTGGTTCAGAGGGTGGAAGGTGTTTTCCATGACAGCACCCTCCTCTCAGCCACTTCCTCCACTGAGCCCAGAGTGCAGCCTAGGCCAGTAACGGCCTTTCTCACCAGTTTATTTAGTCTCTTTTTATCCCGCTCTGCACTGCCAGGGGCCTAGCAGACGACAGTGTAGAGGAGGGCTGATGCCACCACAGAGTCATAGAATGATTTAAGGAGGGGCCTGCTTTCTCCAAAGGACCTCAGCCTCCACAGGAGGTGAAGGCAGCTCTGGCCCTTCTTATACAGGGCGTCGGTGTCATGAGTCGAGTCCAGTTTATTGTTGACGTGAATACACAGGTATTTGAAACTCTCCATAGTTTCTATGTCTTACTCCTGGATGTTCACAGGTGAGTGAGGTGGAGGTCTTCTCCTCACTACCCTGTGAACATCCAGGGGTAAGACATAGAAACTATGGAGAGTTTCAAGGTTAACTATTTTTAATATCCAGGTAAAATGTTATATAGCGATTGTTCAGCCATCAGATAATGTTTCCTCTTTTTCTTTTAAAATCTTAACTTTTTCAAGGACCAGAAAGGATCTCCAGAAGCTACCAACAGATTTGTGTTTCAGAAGATGTTAGGTTTGAGTTTTTTTGCATTTCACACAACATAGCTTTGAGAGAACTTTCTTGGAATCCTACTCAAAAATTATTTAGAGGTAATTTACAATTTTTACTGTAACCTTTACAGTAGGCAATATACCCTAAAAGTTAACAATGTTTACTATTCTTGAGAAACTACCTCCAACCTCCTCAGTTGGACCTTGAGAGACATTGAGATAACTTTCTCTGTGTTCTTTGAAGGTCAATTTGAATGGAAGCTATGACTATAGCTTTCAGATAACATTCTCTAAAGATTAATTTAGGAAATAAATTATTGACTCTAAAGAGAGATTCAAAATTGTATGACCTTCAGTGAATATTTAAGATCCATGACACTAATGCTTCCATCCTAAAGGTTATCTGCAACTTTCACAGGTTGAGAACCATCAGGTGACACTTTACAAGAAGTTGCTACAGGCAGAGTAAACTTTTCTTTGGGTAACATTACCTCAAAGTACAACATCAGTCATTATGAGCCTGCATGAAGGTCCCCTGAGATTTAACAGGAACTTTAATAACGGGTTTTATTTAAAGTTTAATGGTTTTGTGTAAAAAAAATAAAATAAAAAAAAATTAATAACAAAAATAAAAAAAAAGAGCTTGAGTTCCAAAAGTTCTGAGTTTAAGTCCTACTCCCACGGACTGCCACTCAGGGTCCCTGAGCAAGACCCTTAACCCCACACTGCTCCCCGGGGTACTGCACAATGGCAGCCCACTGCTTCCCAGGAGGATGGGTTAAATGCAGGGAGTTTATTTCATTGTGCTGTACTTTTGACAGTGTAGCGACAATAAAGTTGAATTCTATTGTATTCTTTTTTTTTATTTCAAGTTGTAATATTATGACAATAAAGTCAAAAAATTACAAGAGCAAATTTGCAACAAGATTAAAGTTATAGAATGATAGAATTATTAGAATAAAGTCGTAAAATTATGAGAATAAAGTCCTAACATTAAGAGAATAAAGGTGTTACAAGAATAAAGTCATACAATTATGAAAATAAAGTCATAACATTACAAGAATAAAGTCATAAAATTATGAGAATAAAGTCATAAATTACGAGAACAAAGTTGTAGCATTACAAGGAATAAAGTCATAACATTATTAGAAAACTAGCCTGGCCCTAATCCTTAATACTGATTATCCTAATAATTGTGTAAACTCATAATTTATCAAACCAACTTGAAACAAATAAACTAAAGTATATATTTCCTTTAAGGTAAATACTTCTTTCATATTAATATTATACATGTGATACATATAAAAATAAATCATTAAAACGTGTCTTATATGAACCTTCTTCCTGTCCAGACAGGAAGTGATGCAATTCTTCTTAAAATTGGACTTCAGGGTTAATTGGACCGCGGAATTTAATGATGGCTGACTGGGAAGACGAGTACGACGCAGACGGTGTGGCCATTGAGGACCCAGTACCTAAAATAACAGTGACTAGTAAGAAAATAGTCGGGAGTGGTGAAGATGGAAATGTTTATTTGGGGTTTAAAAGTGCAAACCAGTTTGGAAACTGGAGGGAGGCGAGAGAAGAGCGCAGCTGGGAGGGATCCGAGTTCAGGAGCCGAAGAGGACCAACAGTCCGCGGCGGAGGCCCCGGAGAGTGTCGGAGTGGAAACGAGATGTCCGACAGGTCCAAGCCACTGATTTTTAAAGTGGAAAACATGTCAATCGGAAGGATAATCGGTAAGTTAAAAAATATACATATATATTTTAAGCAGGTGCTGCTTATTTGGTATGCTAACCATGCTAACATTGAATGACCTCAAAAACGGGCCCATTTGCTATTTCCTTATATTGTATTAAATTGATGATAATGAGGCACATTTTTTTTTTCTGTTGGGAGTGTGTCTAGCGTAGATGTTTGCTGCTTGTGTCCACAGGTCGTGGTGGAGCTAAAATTCGTGAACTTGAAGAAAGTAGTGGTGCAAGGATCAAGGCAAGTGGTGCTGGCTATTAAAACTGCAGGGAACCAGTTAAAAAAAAACACTAGGGAGGCAACTAAAGATTATTTTGGAAATCGATTAATCTGTGGTGTATTTTTTTATTAATCAGATAGCCAAAGGTTCCTTAAAAGAATTTTTTTTTTTTTTTTTTTTACAAAATTTAACCAGGTGAAAATGTAACTTTTTCCACTTGAGTTCTGGGTAGAGCACATTGACAGAAGAAAAAGTTTATTTTATCTAAAATTAGAAAATATTTATATATTTTGTACAATCTTGTTATAATTACTGCTCTAAGTGGGTCGCTCAGTCAGCTAAAGGCGAGTTTTAGAGTCTATACTCCAGTTAAACATTAATCAATTACTATATTAGTTGACAATTATTTCAATAATCAATTAATCATGGTTAATTGTTTCAGCCACAAAAAACACCCTCATTACCCTCATAAAATCCCAACATTTGGCTCAAAAATGCCTCTAAGCATGAATGCTATTAATGAATTGTCAAATTATTTAGAAATATTTTTATTTCTTTTCTTTAACAGCATTGTTAATTTTGTCAGCTTTTTTTTTTTATTTAGTCTTTTATTTAATCAATTTTAATTTTATTCAAATTTTAGTCATTTAGTCTTTTTTTGTGGTTTTTGTAATTTTTGTCAACATAGTAAATAATAGAACAAGCTCTCATCCTTTCCTGACTGTAGTTACATAGAGATGTAGTTGTCTAAATGTTTAGGATGTTTGTCTCTGTGATTTGAATAGTTTTTGGTTTTTTATAACAGGTTAACAGGGGAGATGATGAAGGAGAAGTGGTTCTGTTTGGATCATCTGCGGTTCAGCAAAAAGCCAAAGAAATGATCGAAGAGCTTGTGGCAGACAGAACCCCTCAGTTTGGTTACGGTACATATTTTTTTGCATTTACTTCTTTTAGATTATGTTTGATAAAAAAAATTAATTCAGTCATAATGTTCTAGTTTTATTTGGTGCTGTTTATCCAGTTCCCAATGATTTGATTGCATATACACACAACAATATCAGTGATTAAAGAAAAAGCATCTTATGATATAAAAACTATAAATATTAAATAAAAATGCCTCAACATTAATTTCTATATTTGGGATATATCATTTTAATTTACATTTCCTAATAATAAACTGATAGATATAATTAGATTCAGTTTATCTCACTATGTTGTTGTCAAATTATTTATTCGAGTAATTCACAATGATTTTATTAATTTAATTTTGAGCAGTTCTATATAATCTGATGGGATGAGGATGGCAGAATGGCACCGTAATCCTGCCCTGAAAAGTGTTGGGAAAGCAGCAAAAAGCTGTTTCTGATCCGTTTTATCATGTATCAGATGTCATAAACTTTGATCCAACATTACCAAAGCTTTATTAGTTGTTTTTTTAATCAATAGATTTCAAAAGTTGAACATCCGTCTGAAGTTTTCTTTGCTCTGTCCTTTTATCCCTTAAATCAACATGCAAATTAAATAAAACTCCCAACAGTATTGTCAAATTCATGACCTCTCGTTTATACAAAATAAACTTTAACTTAATGTTTTAGCTTTTATTGTAAATTCTTTATTTGTTTATTAAAATAATTCCTAAAATATGCAAATGCAGCCAAATAACCTTTCAGCTCTGAATGTCCTTTATTTTACAAAAAGTATCAACAGGTGTTTTTAGAAGCTTCTCTCATTTTCTAAGTAAAATTGTGTAATTAACAGCTGATTACTGATGCTTGGGGTGTGAGTGAGGCTGCAGGCAAGCTTAACAGATTTTAACTGGGGGTAAAGTACACAAGTATGTCAATTATTAGTCCCAAGGGTCATAATGCAGATTTGCAAACGTGATCTATTAGAAAAGTAAGAGTATGGTTGCCCATTTCTCATGTTTAAACTTTTGTAAAGTGGAGCTTTGCAAGTTAGTTACTGATAGTTTTGTTGGCTACATGTTAAAAGATTTAGACTAGAAAGGGTTTCTAGTTTGTGATTA